AATCTAGTTATAGAGTAGATTATAATGCTGTCACCAGATTACCTTACTTGCAGTGACACACTGGGGCGAGGCGCAGATTTAAAAACGTCGAAATATACGATTTCACTCGGCAAACGTGCGCATGAGTTTATTAAGAAATTCATTGAAACAGAATGTCGACTGCGTTAAAAGATATTTCCGTTTTACTTTATATTACTAGCTGTGCCCCCGACGTCGCGCGTCGTCTACGTAGAATAGTTATTTTGTGCATCAATTTTTTTTGCAAACCTCCTCCTCATCTTTTTTTTAAGTTGTTACCCGCGATATCGGTCGTTCTTGCAAGTTAGACTCAAAAGATAGACATATAGTGTCACTGACATTTTTTTCAAATCATTTAAAGAGGAATCATGCTTTCATATATATTGTTTTGGGTATTTTCCCATTTTCCCCTTGGAAGGAACGTTAGTATATTTATTATTTATGTATTGATCAGTTTTGTTTCATTGTCATATACGAATTATTTTATTGCAAATGCAGTTTTAAAAACACAGCAGTTCGATCCTTCGATTTTTGTAACCAAAAAAAAGACTCATTTAATAAGAAATCGTCATAAAACACGCGAACCATAAATAGTAAAACATACAATGATGATTTTGTTTGTTTCCAAGAGTTGACAAATGACGGTGCGTCATTCGGGAAGTGTACCTTGCGAACTCGGTTGACGCCCACAGACGCCTCCAGCAAATGAGATGCAACGAATTGCTTTCAAGTTCTTATTTGTTTGATTATGAATAATTGAATCGATAGTTTGAAGAATTACTCGATAAATATATTTAATAATCATAATGATGAAGCTTTTAAATACTTTCTGTAGTACACATCTAATTAAAACACAATAACGGTTTAAAACGCGATATTATTAGTTAAACTTATTTGTTTATTATTATAACTCCGTGTGATGAGTGTTCCGTGTCAGAGAAATCGCGTAAGACTATACAAAATCATTATAATACTTTGTTTAAAAACATTTCTTCGCAAACTTTTATACAACGTTTCCCAGGTTTGCACTAAAATACAGATATTAATATCTAAATATTTATCGAGAACACGTTATGTATTATAAACGATGAAAAAAGGTTTACTTTATATTACATCTGCAAGAAGTCGATGTTTTTGTTTAGACGTGGGATTTTCAAACTGCTTTTCACTCTCGTAAGATAAAAATATTTGCAACGTTATGTAACACCGATAAAAAATTTTCGCGGAAATTTAAAGAAAACAAATTTCATTCAAGCGGTATCTGTTTACGCAAATGCTTGCATAATAGATAAAATACTTGAACAATTCGAAACGAGACCTATTAGATGATAAATATCCTCAACAGCTTTGATCAATGTACAACTAAAACAGAAGAAAATAATGTCTGTAGTTTATGCGCGTATACATTGAAATAAAATATTTTTACGGTTCAAAACGTAAAATATATGAGTTAAACTTATTTAAAATTAATTTTAACTACGGCCCGACGTTCGGATGCTTTGTAGCAGTCGTGGTCACGGGGAGACTAAATATAAATTAAAAACTGTTACGCTAGCGCCATCTGTCCCGTCGCAATTGCTAATTTACGAAACTGGAGAAAAATAAAGATTATTACACTTTTACTTATGAAATAATAAATCTGTAATCCAATACTCCCTATAATAACGTGTTAAACTTATCGTCCTATATTAGACAATATATATCCGTCTCCGTTATTTTCCAGTAAAATTTATTGATCATCAAGTGGTCTACATTTAGACAATGATATTGCTTACCTATTGAATTTGTGCCAATTTCATCTAAGCTTATGGCGTACGTAAACATGATTTTCAAAGAACGATTGTTTTGTCTACTCAACATCCGTCCACTATAGGACTCATATAACTTGCCTACATAGCGATATATACATACTAGAAATATTAACAATTACAGCGAAATGTGTCAAAAATAATGATATACGATAAATTTGTATTATTACTTGACAGATAAAATACTTTAAAATGCGCAATATATTTCTTAATTTTGCGTTTTAGTTATTACATTCGCGAAACTACTGACATTTAATTTAAACAAGTATTTGTATGTTTTAACATATTAGGTACATATCTAATGGCTAAAAGCGTTGAGTTGGGATACCAGGGAAACGCTATTTGTATCGATTGGACAGGGCACAGAAGACTGATCTACTTGCAAATAAAATCGATCACAGAACGGTCACAGATATGTGTTAGTCCCAAGCCCCCAGAGTTCAGAGTGTTACTGATGAGCTCTTGCCCGCTCCATAGCGTAACATGTTTCTCGCAGAAAAAAAAAAAATGGAAATATTATACTATATAAGAAGAATTACAAATAAAACATTATATACCTTAATACAGGTATAATCCAATATATAATACCCTTGAAAATCCCTTTAAAAAAGGGGACCACTTGGTCAAGGTACGGTTGAAGTAATATCCGAATTTGATCATTGATCTTCTGTGGTCCCATCAGAAAACAAGCTAACCCAATACATATGTTCCTATTCTGCTTGTGTTTTAAAATAGATTTTTTTCGGGACCGAAATTAGCATAATTTATTACTCAGTGTCACGATAAAACTTTTGTGTATTATTTGAATAGGGCGTGTAAGGACTAACAAACATCAGTGTAGGTATATGCTTATCATTTGCAAATTGCAGCTCCGTTTTCCTTCGAAAAAAATAGGAAAAGTATAACAACCCACTTAAATTTAATACGATATTAAGGGCACTTACTAAGTGCTTAACCTTTGAACGGTAATTTAAACCTTGCTTCATTATATATATAAAGGTTTACTCGTAGTACTGTTATGCTTTTATGCTGAGGTATAAATAAATTAACTTCATGGCTTAACACGCCAACAATAAGCGTAAAATCAAAAAATTAAATCTCTTTGTATGTGAAGTTAGTGTAATCGCGCGTAGGTTTAATATTCGTTATTTTTTATGTACGACTGTTAGGGAATGCGTATTTAACAATTAATGTTTAGTTGTTAAGTTAGCTTGAAAAACTGGAATTTCAATAAAGGTTTAAAAAATTACAAGAGAAAACTACTCTATAACTATGTAAAGTACATCAAATCACATAATCAATGACTATTACTTATATGAACATAATATTAAAATGCAAGACAAAATAATAATCAATTTATTAATTTATTTTACTTCGTTTTCGAGTTATTTACAACAGACGACTCATTGTTCTTAGTTGCTACTCATTTTTGACGGCTCGTTGGTCTAATGATAGCAATCAATAAAGTTGCGGGTTTGATCCCCACCGGGGACATGTTTCTAATAAATTTATAATTTTTATGAAACATCTTGGAAATCAGGATATCAAATGGGTGCTGTTAGGAATATCGATTTTGTCGTACGGGTCACGAGCCACCGTCCAGAGATGAAAAAGCCGTTAAATTTAATCGCGTTTCGGGGTCTATGTATTTCCGAATATCCAAAGCCAAAATAGGTCGATAGCACATCTTGTTGAGATACGGCTGGGGTGTTTCACTTTCCATCAATTTAACACTATGCTTGCCTGTCCTTCTCTATCATAACTCATAATTTTCGAGTTACATTTGTATTTGTATTAGGTAATAAGTAAAAAATATAAAGATACAATTAATTTAACGAGTCGTCAAAGATGGTCGATTCTATGATAATACTAATGGCATAATCTCAATGCCAGCTTAATTATGAAGTTGTGTTCCACAGTTATTACTCATACAGTAATTATTGCTTTTAATCGTGCCTTTGATGGTTTACCAGACTATTAAATTATTATATCTAATGTTGGTTGAACACATATTGCGCGCTTTTAATGTACCGAGTTATAAAAACGTATTAAAAATATTCTATTCTCTATTAGCTATACTATTATAATAAAGTTGAATAGTTTGTTTGTTTGAACGCAGTATTTTTAGGAACTACTGGTTCTAAGAAAATATGGATTGGTTGGTTGTGGGTGTAGGCTTTAAGCTATATTACAACCAATAAGTAAACAGTGTAAAATATGGGAAAAGCGGGGAAATTTATTCACCTTCGAGGGCTATCGTTGCGCGCCCTGCCAAAACTATTCAAGAAACCAAGAATTATGTATGAAATAATGATTTCTCCTTAAATGATCCAAAAATGTTTGCGTTTAAAAAAAATATGGTAATCAAATTCGGTCGAAATTAAAGAGTTATATTAACAATAATATTCATTTTGCAAACATAAAAACATTGCTTGCCTAATCAGCTAGTATATATATCAACCAATGTATTTTACTTTCCAAATAATATATGTTAACTTTAGTTGTACCCAAAATACATCTACAAAGCCCTCAACTATTTGATTGAAAACACAAAGTACTCCTTTTTTATTTATTTCCATAGAAAACCATGACTACTGTGATCATCTCAAATGCATACTTTTTTTTACCTATTTTTTGTTTTATTTGCATCCTGGGTCCAGGGGATCCATTGATAATTCATTGAAAAGATTAAAAAATCTTTATAATTTTTTAAGTTGTTGGTAGAAATATCAAAATTCTGTCCGGATCACAAACCACCGCCTACTGATGAAAAGGCTGTCGAATACTGTCTGTAATTTACGCGAGTACACATTTAAATGAAAACATTTTGACTATTTAAGACGCGATATACATTAGTTAAACTTCCCGTGACCACTGCTGCTGCAAAGCATCCGGCTTAGTTAAAAATAATTTTCAAATAAGTTTAACTAATGTATATCGCGTTTTAAACCGTTAAAGTATTTTATTTGAAGGCTGTCAAGTTGGCGTTCGGTTTCAGACTATGTATTCCCGAATATCCAAAGCAAAAATAGGTCGACAGCGTACCTTTCTTAGCTGTTACGGCTGGGGTATATCCTACCATCAAATGAACATCATGCTTGTCCTCCTCTATCATAAGACAATCTAAAATCTTTTTACCATATTATGTGTACCTGTGAAAGTGTTATTGAGAGAATGCATTGTGCAGGTAACGGCACCGAAGTTCCCCGTGGTTATCAAGATCGGGCACGCGCACAGCGGCGTCGCCAAGGTGAAAGTGGACTCCTTGGCCGATTTCCAGGTAAGCCATAATCTTGCCAAGTTTTAAAGGCTCGTATACAGAGACCTCCACCTTTGCAGTCAAATGGTAAAACGTGATGCCTTTTTTTAAATGCCTAATACACGCCTACATCGGGCAATACTGACGTGTGAATAAGAGTGTGGTAAGACGTACTATAACCTCGGAGGCAACAGACAAACAGAACCACTAAACACACCACTAGCCCGCTACGGTGCTTTCGAGGGAGCCTTGCGAACACGAACGTGATGCGTTAAGCGTAAGTCCTAGGCTCGAATCCTAAGAACAATCTATTTATATGTATTTTATTAATTATGTATTTCAGTCGGGCAGGGCATAGAATTTTGATAAACACTTGCCTGTAAAAGAACCGGTTAGTGAAACGGGCACAGAAATGTGTTTGCCCCATGCCCCACGGGGTACATGGAATTTCACTTTTATACATAAACGTTAATTCTAATGAAAAGTAACTTTATTGACATAACGCTGTCTTCTTAAATTTATCAGAAAATAGGGAAAAACAACCTTTTCAAGCTGTAAGTCGACAAAATAAGTATTAGAGAAGTTCTTGCAATAAAAAAATGTGTTTTATAAATATTGAAACTGCTTTTAAATAAAACACTTTTTACGGTTGTAACGCAAAATATATTAGTAAACTTAGTTTAATTTTCTTATATTTAAAACAGAAAGAATAGTAGATTTGACTTTGTCATTAGAGACATCGGCCATTATCAGTCGCTTTGTGACCACAAACGAGACGCTGCAAAGCATCCGAAACGTCAGGCCATAGTTAAAAAAAATAAAAACATTTTGTGTTTTAAACCGTTAATTTTTTTATTTTAATGTGAGTGTGTGTGTAACTCTCGTAAACTACAGACAATACTTATTCCAAGTGCTTCTCTCTATTATAACGAGTAAAATAATGGTTATTTATTTGAAATACGAAATAAAACTATGATCGAATAATTTTAGTATCTGTGTTGGAAGTCTTCATTAACTTAATGCTACGCTGTAACATAAAATTAATAAAAAGAGAAGAATAAGAAGTATATATAAAATAAGATGTCAGATTTCTTAAATGGAGCTTTGTATTACTTATAAACATCAATATTTTGGCAAAACACTCATGTTGAAAAAGGAAATAAACAACCCTTTTTGGCGATTCTCTAAAGGGGAATGCTATGACACTTCCCTAGACATATGCATACTATTCTTTTGAAAAATAGGAATAGACGTAAAGCCCCCGGAGCCTATTCTTTTGAGAATTTCGTTCTCCGTTCCTTCACGGATAATCCAAGCTTAGCTTTTATCTTCTTTAATAAAGCACGTCGTGGAAAGTTTCTTTATGGCTCCGTGGTGAAATTATCTTTTTGTTGCCTTTTTACTACTTTGTTAATCTTCAAAAGTTCAACACACGTATTAAAACAAAATTCCAGACTAGATATTTCCGTTTTAAAGTAAAACAATATTAATCGATATCAAAGTACGTATTGTCTGTACGCAAGAGGCACGTTAAATGCACATATTTTAACTGTTTAGAACGCACAATGTAGTTTTTTATAGAATGTTTAATTACGAGTTGTCCCATAAAAAGGAAAAATAAATTAAGCAATTATATATATCGTAGTTTAATTCGTTAGAAGTGTACCACGAGTACATACTTACTAAAGTACGTTCAACAATATTAATAATCAACAATTAAATTATATAAACTAAATTGAATGTTGTTTTTTGACTAAGTGTAATTATTTTTAAAGCGTTAAATCTTTTCGGTAATATAATAGTATTACCAAGTAAAAAACCCACAAAAAACTTGATTTCCTCCATTTATATCGTCTTAAATATTTAATCTGTGGCAGGCACCATAGACTAACTTACCCACTTTTTTACCTTGGTTTTATGAAATTAGAACATGAAACGACTTTAATGATTTCGGCGTTTTATTACACTTTAAGTACTATGTAGATCGCATAACTATAAATTAGAGGTTTAAACACTTAGCCATAAACACGAAAACTTATAACGTGTGCCTTAGTTGGTGTTATGTGAGCTGGTAATTTTACCGCGGAAGAATGCGTATAATAGGCAATTCTCACGACGCCATTCTTATATGTATCCTGTTCCTAAGCTTTATAATACGTTAAGTAACGTTAGGCGTCAAAGCGTTTCAACCTACCTTATAATATAATAACTTATAAGTTACTAGCTGTGCCAGCGACTTCTTTAGCGTTAAATAGTTATTTTGTGCATCAAAATTTGCTTTTGTAAACATCCACGACGTCGTCCGCGTCCCGTCGTTCTCCCAAGGTAATCTTAAATGATATATGTATACTATTGGACGTATTATATGTATTCGCAGCGCACGCGCACGCATTGAAAGCCCGCATTTTCAACACTTTTTGGCTCTTATTGGTGGCATCATAATATTCTATATAGGTCTATAGGTAAGGAAGGGGCCGGTCCGGCTAAAGCTTAAAAAATACACTAACTAACCCAGAAATAACAGAAATAAAAGTAGTTCTTGAGACAACACGTTTAACCATTTAGCTACAGATGCGGTCGACTGCAACTATCTATTGTACTATTACTATACTTTGTAGTTTATATTATTAGCTATTATTTAGCATGTACTATATAAGATTCATTTGTTTCACAGGATATTGCAGGCGTGGTAGCTATGCTTGGCACCTACTGCACCGTCGAGCCTTATATCGACGCCAAATACGACATCCATATACAAAAGATTGGCACTAATTACAAAGCTTTCATGTAAGTAATACTGATTCAAACCACTGTGTGTACCTAGTGTAATTCTACACCACAACCATATAACATCTAGACTCTAGATGTTATATGATTCTAGACTACATCCGCTATCGACCTATTTTGGCTTTGGAAATTCAAAGGTCCAATGACTAAAACCGAAACGTGATTAAACTTCACGACTTTTTTTTATCTGTGGACGGTGGTTCGTTATCCGGACGGAATTACAATATTCTTACCACCAATTTAATATGACATGTTTTAGAATAATTGTAAATTGATTAGAAATATTTTGGACCCGGTGGGAATCGAATCTAAAAGCAGAGTGCTCGTCAAACTTGTGTTTGCAGTGTTATTTTTTCTATGACAATATCTATCCTAATAACAAATACTAGACTAGAGAGAAAGTTAATTACAAATAGTGTCTGTCTGCCCTTTTATTGTATGCAATAGAAAAATAAAAATAAACACATAACTTATGTTGCACTCTTAAAAACTATTAAAGCTTACAAAGTAGCTTGTCATCATAACATTAGCAATAACTGGAAAGGTATTAATGTTTAAAACTTTAAATTTTTTTCTTTAAACGCCTGATAAAAGCTTACATGCAACAGGCGTTACATTTGTTGCATTTTCTTGTTAAAAGACGAATCTTTTCAATTTATCAAATTAATTTCTTTAATCTCTAACTATCCTATATGTAATTTTAACTGTTTATTGGATTAGCCGAAAAATATTATGATTTGAGAAATAATAATTCTGCTTGTTTCATCCTCCTTATAAATTTAACAAATGCGAATTACTTTGTAGGATACGATAATAAATAATGCATAATTTATTATTTTAGGCGCAAGTCTATTTCTGGAAACTGGAAAACCAATCAAGGATCTGCGATGCTCGAAGCAATCGGTATGAATGATAGATACAAGATGTGGATTGATGAGGTGAGAAGAATCTTGGTTCTATTATTAATAGATTCAGATAGTATTGCTAATAATATATTTGCCTTTGCCATTATAAATGAAATGTCTATGACCAGTATTTTAATAGTTTGAGTAACAAAAAATGTTTTAAAGAAATTACTTCTATATTCGCTTCAATGTAGCATAGATTTAAATAAAAGATTCATACGGATTAAAACGCGAAATATATTAGTTAAGTTCTTGTAAAAATTACGGCTCTTGCGTTTCAAACCGTTAAGTTTTTTTATTTAAATGAAACCTTTTTAATACGTGGAAAATTAAAATATTATGCAATTTCTACGTTATTAGTTGTGTTAAGGTTAAATATCTTTCTATTTGTGAATACACCGGAGTATTGATTCCTTGCTTGTTTCTTGGAAGGTCACATTCAATATTGTTTCTCTCTCGATTGTGGTGTTTATTCTAAACAATCAATATTATATTGGAACTTCTTTATATTTAACAAATGGGCATAGAATTCCCGTTATCATGATTTCCTATGTAATATTCACAAAGTTAAACTTCTGCGTTTAGTATACCTAATATCATCAAAACTACGTTTTCTATTGAACATTTATAAACATTTCCGTCTGAAATGAAGAGATTGTCTATCTGCCCTTTTGTGAAATCGCGTGTCACTGGTCGGTTTAAACTATCTTCTGTTTCCCTGGTATTTGGAACCAGGACCTTTTGCTCGTTACTATTCAGCTACAGAGGTGGTCTGTCTTTTCTTAAGGCTACATACGCGATAACTACAGTCTAAAGGCCGATAGTTTCCTTATCAGGAGGAATACGTATCGATATACGAAATGTGTCACAAAGATTTCATTTATTCAGTTCAACGCAGACTTAAAATATTGTCTCTTGAAAATCCACATTTGTTCTTCTTCCTGGACCTAAATAATTAACGACATAACTTTTTCAAAGGTGAGCGAAATATTCGGGGGCCTAGAAGTATGCGCCCTGGAGCTGGTAGTGGGCAAGGATGGTCGCGAGCACATTATCGAACTAAATGATTCCGCAACTTCATTTATGGGCGACTCTCAAGAAGAAGATCGACGCCATCTTGCTGAACTTGTCTTCCAACGAATGCAGGTAATGTCTTTTTGACATATAAAGAGAGAACCTATCTGTCATAGCATTGTGCTGTAAAATGGAATCTATTGGGTGTTTGGAGATAAGAAGCCTAACTTTATATGAATTTGCTTTCGTATTTTATGTTCAGAACGTCTGCCGCCCTGGTATAACTAAGACCACTTCCCGAAGCTCCGTATCTGGTAGTGGGGCAGCATCACCAGAAGAGCGTACACCGGCACACGTAGCTGGTCCCCCAAGCGTGCCACCACCTGCACCACTCGCGACAGCCACTAGCATCGATCGTCCTTTGCCACCGATTCCTGCTGAACCTAGCCAGCCACCTCCACCACCTCTCACACGTCGGGATTCTCAAGGTATATAAGTGAAATAAGAAGAAATAAACTACACTTTTCGATTGAGGCGCAGTGCCTTAATTATTTTATTTACAACATAAAGAGATAAGTACAAATGTTTTGTAATGGACGCTATGAAATGTGAGTGTTTCTCTTTTATCATCTCTTTTTTGCAATTTTGTTTTAATGAAGAATAGAATTTGATGATAATCTCACATAATTAGAACGGTTAATGTGGTCTTAAACTTTGTTGTTCTAAGTAACATAAAAGTTCGTTTTAAACGAAATTAAACATCTCTTAAATAATTATTTTCTTTTATCAAGAAATAAGAACGAAACTAAGACAGGATTTCTTCTAAAAGTTAGAGACACGGCGTATAAGGAGTCGTTTTTCTAATGTCTGGATTATTTTTTCCAGCTTCTCAATCATCAACGGTGTCCTCATCTTCTGGTGTGCCAGCTTCTACCACAACTCCAAGCGCTACTACCACCACTACCACCGGCAGTCGCTTTTCGCGCCAGGGCTCCCTGAGCGCTGCACTCACTGAAGACGCAGAGGACACTATGAAAAATCTACGGAAAACTTTCGCCGGTATTTTCGGTGATATGTAAATCCGATGATCTCAGCCAAGTTGCATTTGTACTTTACGCGAGAAGAACAATAAATAAAACTAGTTTAAACGGATGAAATAGCGAACAATCAAAATGGTCATTTTTTTAGTTCACCTATGTCAAAAAAGAATTAGAATTTACTTCCAGTCCTATTAAAAAAAAATAACATAAAAAGGGGGGTATGAAGCAACTCGCTACCACCTTAAGTTAATTAATGAATGACAAATAGCACCCGAAATCTCGAACCTAGGAAGAATAAATCGCGTTTCAATTCGTTTAAACAAGTCTTATACCTCGCTGTGTTAACAATTTTTTCAACCGAACTGAATTTGATTTAACTTCAGACTTAATTCATGAGGAGCAATGAAAGTACAAAATATGTTGTTGTTGTTAATTTCGTTTTGTGTAACCGCATGTTGTTGAAGAGCAAGTCACTCATTTCCTTTGAAATATTTTCATGTACTTGATTCGACTTAACTTAGTAGAAAATACTCCGAGAAGGAACACTAACTGAAAATCGGACGGCAAAACTCACACTATCATTATTCACTCCAATACCCAAGATTTAGTTTTTAAGTGTTGATAGTAATAGATTTTTTACAGTAAGTTACGAGATATGAATTTTACGGATCATCTAAGCTATATTGTGATTGTAACAGTTGACGTCGCTCATTTTGGATTTACCCTTCATAATTAGAAAACGATTAACCCCCAGAACATCCTCTAATCTAAGCTTGATTAAGCTTGGATTGACAATCTAAGTTTATATCCATGTTGAATAGCAAAATCAAGTTAATGAACGGTTATTTATTTTGAGGTGTCACACCTAATTTGATATAATATTTTTGAATCTCATACTAACCTTATTTTGCATTGCAAAGCTTAGGAACATCTTATAATTATTATTTCACAGCGGCATGGACCTTAAAATGTGAAACTCATGTGAACTGTACTTTATATATGCTTGCTTCCTTGAATTCAAATTTAATGTGTGAATTGGGGTAAAATTATTGTTAACTGATATTAACCAATGCTATTTAAGACAATACTGTTGAACGCAAGTGTATTCCACATTTTATAATATAATTTATATAGTATTTAATTCCTAGTAGTATTCTAGATTTAGGTATTTATATGACATCCTTCTTCATAAATATTTCATTTTATTATTGTCATGTGTTTAAACATGCTTATCTTCTGTATGTGTAAAAGACTGTATAGCGCTATATTGCATTTATCAATTCGATCATATCGTCCTTTGAAAGCATTTGTTGTTATTTGTGCTAACTGTTTCCAATTTTCTAATACGTAGCGAGTTTTAGTACCTAGCGAGTGTAACAATAAGAACTGGATTATTATTACTATATTTGTAAGTACTTTGAATATATGATCATAAGTTTGACAGTTGGGGGAGTTACTTCCTTGTTGGAAATATGATATCCTAGAAGAGAAACGGAACACATAAAGTGCTTTTAATACGCAATAATGTTAGGGGTACAGGCTACAGCCTAAGGAATTACATGAACCACGTAATTGTAACCAGAATTACAAAAACTTGAATAACTTTATTACCGTGTACAATATAATCTATTCATTTCGTTAACTGCAATAAAGTGGTTCAGTTATTGAAAGAATGAAAGAAAATTTATTTAATGCCGCAAATTTGAAAAATACTTAAATCTAGATTCCTAAGCTAATATTTAGAGACACGTCGGGATGCCGACTCAGCTGTATGCTGCACGAAAGGGATCGCACAGCGCTGTTTTTCAGTCTGCTCCGTTTTTCAGCGATGTTTACTTTTACAGCAATGTAAAAATAAATAACCATCATCAGCGAAATATTTTATTTGCCTAGTAATCGACACTAACTGATAATTGACAAACTTATCGTCATATATTAGACAAAGTATAGTATAATCGATAGCTATCCATTTCCTCTTGTCGTGTTTACAACGAAGATTTTATATTTTACATGTCTAGTCAAATGTTAGGCGGAATCGGTCGTTGAGTTTATGATAATGACGTCAATAGAATTGTGTCTTCTACTGCTGGGGCCTTGGCGATGTGTCATTGAATTACGATTTGTGTAGAGAAACTTGTATGCACTCGTAGTTAGATTTTGACACGAAACCCTTAGCTCTAGATGTATGAATCGAGCATAGTGCTTTGACGTTAGGCTTATGTCACATCAGACGGCGTGTACTATATAGTATAATATCACTGTTGAAGGGTTTGGGCCGTGAAGTTTAATCATGTTTCGGTTTCAGTGGATGTGATGGCTGTGGATATCCGAATATCCAAAGCCAAAAAAAGTCGATAGCGTATGCTACAGGCGGGGGTATTTCACCCATCATCAAACCCCACGTTTATCTGTCCTCATCATCACCTAAATCCTTCGTTGCAAGTAACTATCTAAGTATAAAAATCTCTGTTGCTTCTATGAAGTAGATTGATCCTCAAAAAACAATGTTTGAGTATTCATATGAATTCTTTGGTCGAAAGTAATTTTATCTTGTTAGCCGCCGTTTCTGTCGTCTGGTGTGCAATCAGCCTAAGTCCTCTTATTTTTCTTGCGTGTTAGTCCGCTCATAAACTTTATTTTAGACGATCTCCAATTATTAATGTTAAGATAATATTATAAACACTAAATATAATGCTGTTGTTGTTGTTGCTAAACAAGTTATACACATGTATCTACTCAAAGTGAACATTCGAATGATCTATCAAGATAAAACAACAACGAAACAAAGGAATACACATTCTTACTATTACATATAAATAGAATATAAAGGTTATTAAAACCTTCGTTTGGTTTAATTACTTCAAAGAACCTACCTTTGATTAGCATGGAATGTATAGTATTTTTAATTTGTGTATTATCATACCAGGTTTACCATTTTACCTTGATAGATCTTTCGATTGACAAGGAGACATGGTCTGTCGTAAATATAAATATTACAGAAAGGAAGATTCAAGATCACTGCGTACACGTTTACAAAGAGTTGAAATATCGCTAAGTCAAACTATAGAAATTATTTTAAGTGACATCAGGTCGCAAATTATGTTATTTTCAAAGATCGATTATAAATTGAAAAATGTACGACTCGGGCAGGATTTGAACCGGCATCCTCAGCGTTACTTGGTTGCCCTAATCAATCGAGAATAAGTCCTACACGTCATCGACGATTGTTTTCAACGGAATGCTGAGGTTCAAGTCTGCCCGAGTCGTAAATTTTTTAATCAATAAAACTTATCATCGATGTTTAATGTGTAATATTAAAACACTGTATTATTTACCAAAAGAACGACAAATTAACGCCGCTCTTAACTAAACATTGCTTAAAAAATGAATTTTAAAGTATTAAAGTTGAATATCTAACAATTAAAGATTTCTCAAAATAACAAATGACTTCTGAAATCTGTTATTGACTTTTATCGCTGTCCCTCAAACCGTTCTCAATATTAATTATTAACACTTTTCGATATAACCTGGCAGTGATCTTGAATCAATCTCAAGATATACCTACCTACCTACATTCCGTTGAATGTGAATTGTGATAAAAGCAGTAATAATTCATTATCGGTGTTTCAATGTCCCTGACGAGAAATAAGAGCAATAATATCGTGTTTAAATGTTATTCGCATTATATTAATGACATCCATGTCTTATGTAATTTAATGGAATTTGAATGCATGTTAATCTATATAATAAATATATACCAAATACCTCTTTTGGTAAGTAATAATTTATTCGTTGTTTCATTCTATCATTACAACAGATTGGTATTATAAAACATGATTTTGTATAAAATGTACAAAGCTAGTACGTTCTGAACAAAAGGCGGACGTGGGTCTCTGTTATATAATAAACTAGATTTCCACTCGACTTTGATTGCGTAGAGATTTAAATCAACGTGTATTTTTTAATATATCTAATATTAAAAAGCTGAAGAGTTTGTTTGACGGCGCTAATCTGAAGAACTACTGGTTTGGATTTAATGATTCTGTTTTGGTTAGAGCATTTATCTATTAAGGTATTAGGCTATAAAACATCACGCTTTGACCAATAGGAGCGAAGAAACATAGGGAAATGTGGAATAAACAGGGAAAATTATTCATCTTTGAAGACTTCCGTTGTGTGCGCTGCGAAAACGCGTCAAGAAACCAAAAAAATGCACGAAATATTGATTTTTATTTAAGTGATTAAAAAAAATGTCCGCGACCGTATATGTCTATGTTTTATAGATTTAATCTCGCAAGTTAACTGCATAGAAATATATTGTATATGGCTTCATAAATCGTACAGCTTATCAATTTTTAACGGTTCGGCCGAGTAGGAGATAAGAGGTTCTCACCGTTGTTGAGCAACGAGCAGTTCACGTCTCCTGATCATTCCGTCGCACGGATGGCGAAATGTCATTATCTTTCGCTCGGCGGTTCAAAGCCGAGAGAGACAAATGCTTATAGGAAATATTTATTTTAAATGCGTTTCACGTATTTCAGCATTAGAACTAAAATCCAAGATACCTAAACGTCCGCCAAGGTACCAGAACCGTAATTTATGTACTTTCCGAGATTAGCGTAGACATACAGACAGGCAAAGAATGAATTCAAAACTTTTTTTCTATATTTATATACTATTATAGTTCTGAAAACCTCCTCAAAATAATATCTATCAATACATTAGTAAATGACATCTAAAAGCTAACGATAGCCAACAGGGTCCATTCCAGTATTGAGGCTGTAATTCCTGTACATGCCGGCAGCAGATAGTCGATTGGTGAATGTTTGGCCAGCGGGGAAAAATACCGAAGGAACCGAATGGTAACCTACAAAGAGACATTCATATCAATTACTATAATGGATAAAACATGATTTATCTTGGCATATTTTCTGTTAGGGCGCTACGGGCAAAATGCCTATCATATTTTACTTAAACTTTTATTTTTTATCATTGTTTTACTAAAATAATTGAGAGTGGCAATGTATTACTAATAATTAACGTCGACGTTCGTCGTGGTTCAATCCCTACCGTGTCCAGCATGATTCTAATCAATTTAACATTTTTGAAAACTTTATTTATTTTTTACATGTACTGCACACGAAGGCACTATATAATTTAGTCCTTGTAGGACTCGGTAGCTCAATTGGTAGAGCAACAGCACGGAACGCTGACGATGCCGGTTCAAGTCGTGCCGGAGTCGAATTTTTTGTCAATTTATTTTAGATTTTGAAATTTATAATTTTCTGAAAAAATGTTGGACTTCGTCTGGAAATCTAGATATCAATGGGTGGTAGATATATCGAAATTGCGTCCAGGTCAACCACGTATGAAATATTAGTTAAGCTTAATAACGATTCGGTTTCGGTCTGTGGATATCCGAATATCCAAAGCTAAAATAGGTCAACATCACATCTTGCTTATACTTATATCAAACCCCGTTCTTGTCTGTGCTTCTCCATTATAAAGAAAATAAAAGTGGGTTCGTAGTTAAAAGTAAATCAACTCCATTATTCGCGTTCCAAACCGCTAAAGCCTGTTATGAGTGTTATGACCATATAATGAAAATGTAACTTTTACCCACTACATTTACTTTAAACAACGTTTTACATATGTGTAATAAAAAAATATAATGGTTAAATCTGTGTGTACTTCTCGAGTCTTTTTTATTTATTAATTGAATTGATAACAGTAGTTTGTCTATTTAGGCACCCAAAAGACCAAGAACAAAGAGAAAAAACAAAAAAAATACAGCAAGAGAACGAAACAACTTCTTTTTCGCTTGTATGTTGCATGTAATAATTGAAAATTAAAAAAAAAACATATATGTATTCGTATTTCTTTTATTTATATTCAATAAATAAATCAGTAATTACTATCATTTCATTCTTCAGTAACATAAACTTAACTTCTTATCGTACACAATTATGCTTAAAGGGATACTTTAAAACTATTTCATAGACGAAGAATTCATGTTGGTGTTGAGAGAATAGTTTCTATACATTCCAGACGCGGCAAGGTGGCTGGTGAAACTTTGGCTCTTCGGGAAGTAACTCGTCGGTACGGAGTGTAGGGCTACAATCATACAAATATGTAACATTGAAGGTAAACACATAATGTAGCTAGAGACAGAGTGGCCTAATAACAAAAAACATGGTATACAATAAGGAGACAAATAAAAATGCGCAATTAACTTAAAAAATGAATTTGTACTATTATATGTGTAAAAAAAAATAAATAAAATATTTGTTCTAGACTTAAAATACAAATAACTCAAGTCATACAATTGCAGTTAGGCTACTCTGCCTCTAGCGGTCTCATATTATATATTCAATCAGCAAATAACAACAATTGCTTGATTGATAACAAACAACAATGATACTTAGTTTGGAACGTGTTTACATCAGTTTTTCTTGAAATCACCACCAGTATAAAATGCAGTTTTATATATTTTAACTGTAGTTGTATTGCAATAAAGCTTCTACAACTTGACACATTTCTTGTTGACAAATTTGACAACAATCATATTAAGAACACCGAAAAATTATGTTACTTAATATCATAGTATAACTCTTTCTAGTACTGTAATACCTGCCTAAATGGTTAAACGCAATCATTGCATTAATCGCAAGATGTTCTAGGTTCATAATTTGAGAACACAAATTGTTTCAACCAGGCAGGGCCTATGGCGTATCACGAACAACAGCAACGGGCAACGGACATAGAAATGTGTTTGTCCCAATATGGGCCATGGGGCAAACGCAGTGAAATCGGTCCCTACAGAACTATTTACCTGGTGGAAACCAGCCGTATTCACTAGCTGAAGTTCGGTAGAAAGGGTGCTGCTTACTCAGTTGGCAACCATAGCCGTTGAACCAATCTGTAAAATGAGTTTCTGAATTAAAACATGAAAAATGCCACAGAAGAAACATTTTCCTCCGTCTTTCTTTACTTCTTCGTTCCTATTAATCGCACCATGATGTTTCATAACACTTTACGATAAACGCTCTAACCAACACATTTTTTTTATAATTTGAACCAGTAGTTCTTGAGATCAGTGCGTTCAAACAAACAAACTCTTCAGTTTTTTTTTATTTTAGTATAGAAGTATGGACAACAACAAACCACCCGCGTAATAAAGATCATTGTCTTTTTGTTACCCGTATTAATTGATGCGGGCTCTTTGCATATTTACTTAGTTAAATAGGATATTTTCTGTATAATCGTACCTTATATATCGACTCGTGAAAAACTCACTATATACAAAATATCAGCCGAATGTAGTTTCAAACTACCTACATTGCATTTACATGCGAAAGTGACCGTTCGTTCCAATATAAACTTCGCTTCAAAGAAAATTATAATTATTAATACTAAAGCACTATTAAATTCGTTTCATTAAAACATACTAATTCAGTTTCTCGATATAATTAAGTAAAAAGTTTTCATGGTGCTTTGAAAGCGATAAAGCCTTACCGTAGTTACTAACTATATACGTAAGTAGTTCCTTATGATAGGGTAATGATTCTGTAAATATCGATGAAACCTAATGATTTATTAAAATAAAACACTTAAACGGTTTGAAACGCGATATGTTAGTTAAAGTTATTTGAAAATGATTTTTAATTTCGGCCCGACGTTTCGGATGCTTTGCAGCAGCCGTGGTCACGGGAGGAGTCTCCTCGTTTTTTTAAAATGTGTACTACTCGCGTAAACTATAGACAGTATTGAAATGATTTATTACATATAGCACGTACTTTACCGGATACGCCGCTATATAAACGAGGAGCTTCGCACAAAGCTGTGCGAAGCACTTATTCTTTCGAAACTAAATTATGGGACGGGCGCTAGGGGGGGGGGGGGGGGGGGGGGAGGGGGGGGGGGGGGGGGGGGGGAAAATAAAAAAAAAACCCCCCCCCCCCACACCCACCAAAAAAAAAAAAAAAAAAAAACAAAAAGGGGGGGGGGGGGGGGGGGGGCAAGGGGCAAAGAAAGGAGGGGGGGGGGGGGAAAAAAAAAAAAAAAAAAAAAAAAAAAAAAGGGGGGGGGGGGGGGGGGGGCCCCCCAAAGCGCCCCCCCGGGGGGGGGGGGGGGGGGAGACCAAAAAACCACCCGCCCCCGGGGGGGGGGGGGGGGGGGAGGGGGGGGCAGGGGGGGGGAAAAAAAACCCCCCCCCCCCCCCCCAAAAAAAAAAAGGAGGGGGGGAAAAAAAAAAAAAAAAACAAACAAATAAAAAAAAAAAAACCCCCCCCCCCCCGGGCGCCCCCCCCCCCCCCCCCCCCCCCCCCCAACAAAAAAAAAAAAAAATTATAAAAAAAACCCCCCCCCCCAACAAAAAAAAAAAAAAAAAGGGGGAGAGGGGGGGGGGGGGGGGGGGGGGGGGCCCCGGAGAGGGGGGGGGGGGGGGGGGGGGGGGGGGGGGGGGGGGGGGAAAAAACCCCCCCCCACCCGGGGGGGGGGGGGCCCCCCCCGGGCCACAAAAAAAAAAAAAAAAAAATAAAACGGGGGGGGGGGAGATTTTTTTATTTAAAAAAAAAAAATTTAAGAGAAAAAAAAAAAAAATTAAAAAAAGAAAAAAAAAAAAAAAAAAAGAAAGGAAAAAAAAAAAAATAAAAAAAAATAATTAATAATTATATACAACAAAATAAGAATCTATTAACTAATATATAAGGCTGAAGAGATTTTTGCTTGTTTAAACGCGCTAATCTCAATAACTTCGAATTGAAAAATTATTGTGTGTATTATAAGGCTTTAGGCTATAAAACATCAAGATGGGACCAAAAGAAGCGAAGATATAGTAGGAAATGTGGAAGAAACGAGAAAAATTGAAAAAAAAGAAATTTAAGGGTTTCCGTGGCGTTCCCTTGTTTTTTCCACAGAACGTCAGGCAAAATGCGTAACTGTCCAAAAATATATATGAAAGAATTATTAAGTTGATGCATAGAATTACTATTCTACGGCCTTTTTGTACTTGGAAGTAAGCACAACGCTTTTCTTCAGTGATGCTCCACGGTAGACCTAGTTCGTCTGATTTATCACAACTATGATTAAACGAGGCCTGAAATACATTTTACGTCTTACGTGGATGCTCAAATCGCTTCGGAAGGTTACAAGTTGCAAATACATCGGAGGTCTTGACTTCTCGCTTTTTGATCGCCTGCTGCAAACTCTCCCTGTTACTGCAGGTCGCAGAGCAAAATCCCGGTTGTCTCTCTTGTGGATGTTCAGAATTTACAGCGTTACTCATGCTTCTCTTAAAATAATTTTTGTAAAAGCCTTCGAAATAGTGTCGGTGCTGTGATTTTCCCGTCAACAGTGGTTGCCATGGAAACAGTCTATTGAAAAGGAAAAATTGGCTAAACAGAGTAGATTAAGGGATAAATGATTTGACTACAGAACAAGCTATAAACAATATAAAGGCTATAAGTATAGTTAAAATGAAACAAGCAAGTATTCGTTCTTATTATTTTTTGGTATTCAACTCTTTGGAAGCGATTTTTAACGAACATTATATCTTCTATCCTTACAACAATAGAGATAACATAAATTAAGTCGAACACTTCAAAGTTTAGATACCCATTTGGAATAATTAAGTTCAGTAGTCTTATCGAGTCCTCATTGTTAAAAATTGTACTTTAAGGCCAGCGTACAAAAGACCAATATTAATAAAAAAATACTGTTAGGAGACCCGCCGAAAGAGCGAAGAGACATTAGAAACTCATTCAACAAATTTATTTACATAGTGTTACTTTAAATAGTAATATTAACCACAACAAAAAGGACGCAGCAATGTACTTATTGCTTACTAGCAATCAGTCGAATATATACATGTACAGTTAAATTTTGGAAACGCATTTCAAATTCAAAGTACTAATACTCTTAATCCACTAACAAGAACTATTTTAATAAATATTACTATAATTACAAAAAGTTAAAAATCTAATCCTTACCAAAAGAACGAAATTAGATTGAAAATCTTCGATGACACGGGCGGGGCTTGACAAGCATTCACAGCATTCCATCCTGCTGCTCTAGTCGATTGAACTACCGTGTCTCAGACATAATCATCGACTTTGTTCAAGCCATTGATACTTGCACCGTTCGCACAATTTCTATTTTTTGTAATGCCATCATGTAATGTAATACGTGAAAAAAAATAAAAAATTTTCGAACCAGATCGTTTGACACGTTCTAAGATCGTAAACCAAACTGCTAAAATCAAACGAAGCACAGTTAAATTTTCGCTATACTAGTTGAAAAGGGAGGTCTAAGTGACCGATGGCCTTTACCTCATTGAGCATGCAACGCAGCGAATAAATTAGCTAAACGTTATCAGCAATATCAGGACGAACAGACAAATGAGTAGACGTGGGAGTCTATCGCATTCTGGCATCCTTCCATAGTATATGTATTAAATTACTCTTTAAACACAATTTGTCATTAAAAATAAACGTCAAACAATGAAAACAATAACAGTAAACGAGCAAATAAATCTCAATGTAGTAAAATATGAGCTGGATTTCTCAGATTTATATAAACCTATACAAAAAGCGTCAAAAAAGAAGAAAGGTGTCAATTGCACCTTAAGAAGTGTGCTGGACGTTAAGAAGAAACTTTTTGTTGTTCCCTCTCCGCCAGTGATTCAAAATTCACGTCAGGTATTTATTTATTAATAAATCTTATCAGAGAATTTTTATTTGGATGCGTCAAAAATATTTTTTTAAATATAGTCACAAGAAGCACTACAATACTTTTCCATAAATATTTGTGATTGATTTTTTATTTCACTTTAAATAGAAATAATTAAAACAGTTTATTCTTTGATTGTCATTTTTGTGTTCTGATATGCTATAGGGAATCATTTTATTATATTAATAAAAATCGAAACAACATTTTAGAGAAAGGATGTCAGAATTTTAGTAGAAGAACTTCTCGATGAGTTATATGGAGAACAACGAGAATGGAGTAACAGCAGCGCTGTGGGATGTAGTCAAGGGTTTGTCTGTATAATTATAAATTCAAGTCTTTACTTGTTAAAATAACACAAATTAATTATAAAAGGGTTAGAGGTTAGAAGGGTTTATAATTATGTTTATTATTTAGGGTTCAAAGCGCGAAAAATATTACTTAATTTATTTTATCTTCGACTCGACGTTTCGGATGTTTTATAGCAGCCGCGGCCTTTTAACCTATAGAGTGTTTTATTGAATATATATCACTCATATTATTATTATGTTTTAGGTCGACCATTGCCGCATCTTCATCTTGTCATTCAAATTGTGGAGACCACCTCGAAGCTATCGAACGCAGTTTTTTGGAGTCCCTAGGTGAATTGAAGTTAAATAATAAAAAGTAAACACTTATAGAATTTAATTTTGATCAATGCTGGGGATTCAATAACAGATATTGAAGAGCTCCACTCGCAAATTCAAGAATGGAAGACGAACTTACAAATAGCCGGATCACGACTGGCAAAATACTTAAGAGTGCGAGACAGACGACGTAGGCAACAAAAGAAACTTTGTGCTGCCTTTACAGTGTTATTGCGACATATAAGTAAGTATTTTTACATCTATTTCGTATTATCCACACTAAAAACACAATTCAATAAACGACTCAGCTGAGCGGTCTTTAATAATAGCATAAAGAAATAAATGTTAAAAATAACACGCGAATATAACCTAGTAAGAGAAAATAGAACAAACATAAAACGTTTTAAGAGATGAACTTTTATATAGTCTCCATTTATGAAAGGAAATTAAACAGCAGTTCATTCAGCTTAAAATAACAGCTACCAACATCACAAAGTCATTGTGGGAGCCTTTCTCGGTATCTGAAACTGACGTGTGAAATCAATATACAACGCACACAGGCACAATTGCTTGAGCGCACTGCGCATGTGCATAAATCTACCACGTTACGCTGCTACACCAGACTCTGTAGTTTCCTGCATTAACCGCTTTGCCAACATCGATTTGAATTAACACGGCAGTACATTAGTAGGGGATGCGCAGTGGTCCTTTCTTCCGCGCCCTGTACCGTAAACATCGCATCAGCTGGTTCACAATGGAATCCAGTTTTAACAACGACGATGCGTCTAGTTGACTCTTGTATATTCCGTGAATTAGTGTCCGTAGTCACAAATATACGATCATAGAATGGTTCTGTTTGCAATGAATTGATAGCGCTTAGCGAAAAAGTGTTTTAGCGCTCGTGTATCATCAAGTTAGTGTGATTGCTATGTACTTATTGTCCAATGTACGCGTTGTGCAGAACAGATGAGTGCTATTTTAAATTCCCTCAGGAATTTAGCGGGTTCTTCAAAGACCACGACAGGTATTTTCACTTTTAAAATTTGTGTTTACATTTTTCTAGTACCTGGTTATTGTAATCTTGATCGAAAACACTCGGAACATACAAAAGTCAGTTCCCTTGAACGGTAATTCAATTAGCGAACTGTTAGTGGAATTGCCTTTATACTTCTAAAAGATCCATTTTTATTAAGAAATAAAAAAAACGATAGTCCGTTAAAATTGATATTTTTATAAACACTGCGGTAAATTTAACGTTTCTTAATGAATGCAATAATTTATTGGTGAATTCAATGGTAAAGTCTTTTAATGTTTAGCTGGCGACACAAATGCCCGGTTCGGCCTGACCCCAGGGGCCGAAGGCCCAGGCGAGGGAGGCTTCGCAGAGTGGCTTCATGCTATGCGGCTGGTGGCACGCCTCCCAGCTGGAGTGCCACAACATTTTCGAAGAAGAGTAAGAATCTACTTATTACAAAAGCTAAAAGAAAACTTCCCTTCAATAGCTGGATTATGACGTCATATCTTCGTCGCTATATTTAGATGCTTTCTTATGGACCTTGTTACTTAACAGTTAAGTAGAGTAAACAAAATTCGATTAGCGTCGATAAACACGATTTTATTATCACTTACTTAGATACTAAATCGTTCAAATGAAGTTATCATTTTATAGTTAGCTTTGTTTAAAAATCTTACAATGTTAAAGTTAGAATTAAGTATAAACTATGAGCAGAAATTGCAAAAAGAAAAACAAAATAAATCGGCCACCTATGATAAATTAAACTTATGTTAAAGCAGGATGACGAATAAAATATTAAGCAAACAGTAAGAATAAGTTAAAACACCGATATCTGTAAACGAAAAATGTGACGTCACTAACCTGAAGTCTTATCTAGGTCTTTATTTAAAAATATCTCAACAGACTGTTACTTAGCTTAGTGTTTGACTCGGTGAAGCATCAATTAAGTAATTTCCGACCGAAGCTTCGGTTTCGGAGAAATTACTTTTGGCTTCGGTCTGGTTTCGCTAGAAATTCGATGAAGGTCTAGAAAACATTGTTACTAATAGAATCATGACAGAATAAGTGTTTCACCCAAAAATAGTAAGTATTATTATTCTTGGGGATATGTTATCAGCCAACCATTTCACCCATTTCGCTTGAGTTTTGGTCATTTCCCGTCCCCTTCAAACCTTCCGGTTTGCTTGAGAATTTTTTTTCCATCTGTATTCTTTGATATCATCTTCGTATTTCCGAAAGTTTAATTATGAAAATAGTAAGTAAAGTTTTAACCTAACTTACAGCCATAGGCATAAAGATGGATTTTTATTTATCTATCTTTGCATCGTATGCTCCATGGTCAAAACAAGTCTACCTAGTTTAAAATTTTTTGCTTGCTCACCTACATGTAATGTGACATATTCAACTTTCAGTAACTTATAAATTTTTCGATACTAAAATTGATACTTTAAAATTGAAATATTGACATTTTGTTCACAAATTGTTTGGGATTCAACAAGAACCTGAAGTAACTTATCGGTTTAACTAACCTTTTAAAAAGTCTAAACAGATGCCAAAAATACTTGTCTAAAAATATCTCCCAATGACCATGACTGCTGCAAAGTATCCAAATCGTCGGACCGTTAAAATAATTTTCAAATCAGTGTAACTAATATATTTCGCGTTTTAAATGGTTCAAATGTTTTAAAAATCTTATCTGTACAGTTATGGCTGACTCTGGCTGAACGTCATCTAAGCTCTAGGAACATCGACTGGCCATCAGCCGAACGTGCATGCTTTCGTGGAACAGCTCAACCTGATGATGCAGAACTAAGCGCTCAAATACTTAAGGTACGGGAAGAATCTTCCTTGTGTAATGTTAACTGTAATGGAATAATAATATTTTATTCTGTTCTTAAGGATCTACATCGCACTGGTTGTTCACTATTTTGTGGTACAGAAGGACGCGAGAATCAAGCAATGCTTCGAAGGGTTTTACTGGCTTATGCGAGGTATATACTATTCTCTAAATCACTCAATTTTTAAATAAAACACTTTAACGGTTTAAAACGCGATATATTAGTTAAACTTATTTGAAAATTATTTTAACTACCACCCGACGTTTCGGATGCTCTACAGCAGCGGTGGCCCCTCGTGGCGAGATTAATATATATCGCATTTTAAACCGTTAAAGTGTTGATATTTTAATGTGTACTTCTCGCAAAAACCGACCGTATTTAAAGTTATTGATTATTATTCCAGATGGAATAAAGAAGTGGGATATTGTCAAGGTTTCAACATGATGGCTGCCATTATCTTGGAGGTTATGGAAAAATCCGAAGCGGACTCTTTGAAGGTACCAATGATGCTACAATATTTGTCGACGTTATTTGTGGATATATCGATCAGTAGAGAATTAACTCCTTGCAGGTGATGATATATCTGGTAGAGGCGGTTCTACCAGAGGGCTACTTCGCGGACGATTTACGAGGTCTCTCAGCAGATATGGCCGCTTTTAGAGATCTGTTAAGACTCCGCTTGCCCAAATTAGCACATCACATGGACTACTTGCAAAAGATTTCTGATGGTAAGATTACCTTTTTGAAATACAATGACTCCTATATCTATTCTTGTAATTATTCTGTCGAAATACAGAACAATTACAAGAACAAATGGAGGAGCCTCTACCTATTAACTTTTTAACTGATTAAACACTTTTGACACTTTTCCGTGCCCTACGCAGGCGCCGGGTCTGAAACTATCTAGTTTCAGACCTGGCGTTTGACTTAACTTGTTTGTTATTTTTTATTGTTTAATTATTTAAAAGTATATATGTATTTGTTTTAACCTACGTTCATACATAGATTATTTGTAAAACTTTTACTGTACCTCTGATGTACCTTTATTTTATGTACTGTTATCTCTTTCTATAAATATTATTCTTTTATTGTTTCTGCTATATGTTTTGAAGCTTTAGATGAATGAAAGAACTGATGAGTTACATTAAGAAGTCTTTATAGTATGTGCTTATTTGAGTACTGCTGACTATATCCCTAAACCGAGAATTTATTATTAATTCTAGGTGGTGGTGTAGAGCCGCCACTGCCTGATGTATTCACGATGCAATGGTTTCTCACACTGTACGCTACATGGCTGCCTCGAGACGCTTTACTTCGCATATGGGACCTAATTCTGTTGGATGGCAACGAAATTCTTTTATTGACAGCACTCGCGATTTGGGATATGCTTCAGGAGTAATTGTTCTTTCACTTATCAAAGTTTTAAGCTTTGAATTGAACTGCACCTTCTATTTGAGATACCGTTTAAACAAAGATTTGTTAAATATTATTATTATATTTCTATTGTTACTGGCTGCTGCCTCGTTGGTGTAACGGTAGCAATGTACGGCTAATAACTAGTTTGTCGTAAACGACACCGGTCCAGCATGTTTCTAATTTTTCAATCTATGATTTTCCTGAAACAAGCTGGACTTTGTCTGAAAATCGGAATATTAAATGGATGGTAGTTTAGAAATTCTGTCCGGGTCACAAACCACCGTCCACGGATGTAAAAGCCATGAAGTTTATTCACGTTACGGTTTCAGTCTGTGGATTTCCGAATATCCAAAACCAAAATAGGTCGAGAGCGCACCTTGTTTAGATGATATAGGAGTATTTCACCTACCATCACGTGAACCCTCATGCTCCCCATGCATGCATGCGTGTATGTCCTCCTCTAGGCTCTATCATTAAAAAAATATATATTTTTTAGATCTTTAAGTATATTTGTTAAAAAGTAATATAAATCAACGAAGACAAGGGTATACAGCAGGTTTGCTTGATGCCTTGCCTATGTTCATATTTTCATATGCGGTTTGATGTGTAAGCTTTTGAATAATAATAAGTAATACTACTTTTATGTTCTACTACTTTCAGTCGAATACTATCAGCTCGCTCGGCAGATGAGTTCTATAGCTGTATGGGCGGTGGAGCTAGTACTGTCTGGGAGGCAAGTGATTCCCTCGTGGGCAGAGTAGTGTCTCTGAACTCTGCACCAGAATTACCTGGCCTCCGCAATCTCCACCGGTATAGAGTGACGCCTCCCGTGCCACCAAACGCCCCTACAAACCCACCAATACAAAGTGCGGTATGTTTTTTTTATATCTATATACAATAGAGTTATAATTTATTACAATTTACAAATTGTCTGTACTGAGATGACATCATCAGAGGGGATAAAAAGTGGTGGTATACATTTCGACGAGTTTGGTTGCGCCGACAACTTGTCTAGGGAGTGACACTGAACGATTTAATATTAATCTGTCTTTCTTTCAAATAATTCAGTGTTGTGATATCTATTACTTCGGAAGTAGTGTTATTAAGGTTTTTGTTATAAATTTAATGAAACCAGATAATAATTATTGCCCTTTTTTATTGTATTCAACTCGTGGTCTCTAAAATTTTTAATTACAGATGCAATCGATGACCAAACGTGGTTTGCGTCTTTTTTACTCGGAGGATGAAGGTGACTCCAGTGATGATGGAAATAAATTGGCTTTAGCTACGGTAAATTATGTGTAATATTTTTATTACAACTTTTTTTTCATTGGAAAAATAGTTCATAAATATCAATGTTCGCAGATTATCCCTCGTCGCGACAGCCACTCAGGAACTGGAGACAGGTTGACTTTAGATATAGGAGCTCTAAAGCGACAGTATGCACGTCTTCGAGAACGGCAACGACAAGCGCATGTGATTTTAGCAGCTGCGTGCGCTCGTCATGCTGCAGGTAGTTTTAATTATTTATATAGTTGCAGATCAGCCATTGTGAAGATTACAAATAATTCTTACAGCATATTTAAAATTTTCAATGAATAATTGTGTATTATAGAGGAGTATATAGAAAAAGAAATTTTAGATAATCGTATCATTGCACTGTCACACACAACCGCAAATGATTACTACGTGAAATATTTTTTAATAAACATAATCGACTTCAAACAGTAAACAAAAAAAAAATGTTTTACTTCGCACAAAGTAGTATATAATAAAAATAATTTAAATGTAGTGCTTTAAAGTACTGCATAAAAACTTACAAACACATTAGCCGTCCGTACGTACGATTTTTAAAAGTTCCCCTTGATTTCAAACCCCGATTTCCTTGAATTTTTTTTTTTTTAAGGCTGTTTAAAATTGAAATGAAATGATATATAATTTTGTGTTACAGTTGGAGTTCCTACATCACCTACATCGCTTACAGTCAATAACCTACTTCTTGGAAAAAGTGCTATAGTAAGTTCGAGAGGGAGACGACTCGGACCTCCACCAGGAGCTGTCCCACCTTCGCGACAGTCTTCCACTAGCCAGGATAAAAGTACTTCTCCAAAGGGATCTACTGATGAAACAATCAGTTGGAAGGAAGCTAAAACTCGTAAGACATTAGATAGACGAAATTCAGTTAAATGGAAAGATATAAAAAAAGAAAAGACACAAGATACAGGTAGAAAACCCTCCATAGATTTAGATGAGCACGGAGATGGTATAATTGTGTCTGAGTTAGAAGCAAATGAGATGATTGCGTCTGTTCGCTCTCGAAGTTCCAGTGAATCTTCATCATACTCGTCGCATACCGGTTCCAGTACAGATACAAGTTTATGTGATGAAAATGAGTGTGATAGTGAATCAGAACATGAATTACTAAAGGAGGATAAGCAAAACGAAAATTTAGTAATTCAACCTACCGAAGAACAGTCTGTTTTAAAAATTGACACAGAAAAACCAAGATCTCCCATTTGCAGTGAATATATTTTAGAGCCTTCGAAGCCAATATCAGATGAAAATACTCATAGTCCCTTAAAAATATTAGATAATGCTGAAAATATTTCAAACAAGCCAGTTAGACCTAACAAAGACAATCTCAACCTTGATCTTACAGATATCCACTCTCTTCCCAGATGTAATGTTTATAAAGATGTCAATGTTAGTATGTTTTTGCCAAGTGTTAATAAAAAGAAAGAAGAAAAGTCTAAATATTCAGCTTTAAACTTCACAGCCCTGAGTCCAGTAGATTTGTCACCTTACCATAATTTAAATCTACAAAAATCATCATTTTGCTACGACTTTGAAGCAAATCTAAGGAGACCTTCTACTTCTAAAGCGGACAACACTATCTTAAGACCACCTGATTTAATTGATAGCTTCACAATGTATCCTAATTTTGTACCGGATATCGACATATCTGACAAATATGTATCTGACATTGACAGTCCGCCGCGTAGTCCAGAATCCGACAGCATTATTGTTAGTGAAGATGAACCACCGATTCCACTTAAAGTTGATAAATATTTTGAAAATAGTCCAGAGTTTTTTGGAGCTCGTCTAACAGACCCAAATAATGAAAGTATTCCCAGTCGTAGGGCTATGAAAAGAAACTCCCGAGTACCCAAAAAGACTGACTCACTTACTGTAAATAGTGAACATGACGACAATTCTATTAAGAGTGAAGCAGAACGTGCTTCTTCGTTGCCACAAACACACGCATATGTATGTCAGAAGTCTGTAAGCCCTGAAAACCCTTCAAATAAAAAATCTGAGAATACTTCTACCAATGAAATTAAAAAAAATGAATGTATTACTAGACCTAACGTTATAACCCCAAGTAGTGAAGCTAAAATCAGTACTACAGCTGAATCTATAAACAATGATTATGAAATTGATGTATTTCTAAGTAGTGAAACCAAAGAAACTTCATCTGACATAAAAAGCGAGATTTTTGAAAATATTGACTCCGTGAAAAATGTCAAATTAGATAGTCCACATGACTCCATCGTGCAGTATGGTCGTAAAAATAGTGAGAGAGCTCTTCAAATTATTCAAGAAAACTCTCAAATCCTTAGTAGAATACTTACCAAACAAAACATGACTAATAATAGTAATACAAATATAGTTCAATCTCCAAAAAACATAAATAAAGAAAGAGAAAATAAATTAGAGTTCGTAGTATCAAAATCACTTGATTCCCCAATGCTAAAGGAATCTACGTCCGATTCCCTAATTGGCGGAGTTAGAAGAAAACCCAGTTGCAACATGAACGACAAAAAATGTTTAAGAGAGAGGCCAATTTCAATAGATGATCCGTTTTCATATGAAATGCGAAAAAAGCTATTACCGTTAGAAGAATTTTCATTAAAAAGTATAAAAAGTCCTAGCAGTGACTGCCTCGGCAACAAAACAGATTTGTATGGATGGGAAAATAAAGGGTTTTTCGCAAAAAGTGATTTCAATACTGTAATGGAATCTGAAGAGAAAAGAGACCCGAATGTAACAAATAATAGTGAAGTTATTATACGAAAAACAATCAACCCAACCACAGATATAAAGCCTGATTACAGCCGATATTCATTTTCGAGCGATTCAAAAACATTTTTTACGCAACCGTCATCAGAAATCAAAGATACATCCACTTACGATCGCAAATATACCTCCGATGATTATAACTATCCAATATCGACTTCTACTAAATATAACGACTATATTTTATCAAAAGTCAGTGATATTTGCAGTAAGACGTTGGATGTAGAGCCAAAGATTTGTGAAAAATTAAAAACGGATCCCAGTCAATTAAGTGATTTTTCACAAAAGGTCACGTCATCTATTAGTTTCACTTACGAGCCGTCACTAGAAGACGACTCTCCGATGGGTGCAAAAAGCAATTCAAGCGATACTTTGTGTCAAATTACTTCGTTAGATCAAATATCTACACCGATATCACCTAAAACGTTTCCCCAGCGAGAAACATTATCTTTTCCAAAGGACTATACAGAAAAAAGTGATACAGTGAAAACAGAATCGGATGATACGTGCAGTGCAATAACGTCTCTATTAGAGACAGATACACTGTCATCACTATCGTTTCCTCGCAGTCCATCGTCCAGTTCATATTATCCTTTCCCAACAAGACCAACATTACGAACTCCAAAGGACTTTGGTGTGCGGTTAGGACTATATTCGAAAGAGACAATTAGTTCTCCACCTAAGTAAAACTAACAACCTGAAACCAATAGGAAATGTTTTTGTAACTTTTTACATGTTTTGAATCCTTTATCTTATCTGTGTGCGATTTCTTGATATGTCAACTCCTTATTTCCTTTAGTAACTGATCGTTAATATTTCTTAATTACAGTTATGATAGACGCCTAAGTAAGGATAAAGCTGTTAACCATACCTTGTAATAAGCGGACTGATAGTAACGGCTTTTATAATATTAAGATACCTCTATGTTATTTAGAGCAATAATACATTCTTCTTGTAAATGAGTCTTATGTTCTATTAAGAATACAAAATAATAGGAAATATCAAACTACTTTTAGGTAATCTACTACTTATTCAAAATTTCTTGTGGATAAATCTAACGTAGAGATAAAAGAAACCAGTTGCCTTGAATGAAAAATTACGTTATAATATGTTAATATTTTAGCGCAAAATTATAAATAAATAGAAAATTGAAATGTTCTCGGCAAAATTTATATAGCTTAACTTATTTCTATCTGGATGAAGAGTAATATTGTTATGTTATTTGGAGACGATATTGACTGTCGTTAGATTATTGTCACAACAAAAATATAATATTATATTACTACAGACGCTTATTTTATTTAAAAGTCATCAATAACTGGTGGGCAGGTGCAAACTAGATGCTTGTCTCCGTACATGTCATCTATTCTTGCTACAGTTGGCCATATTTTTGTTTCACCTTTAACAAACGGCTGTAAAAATAATTTTATATGAGACGTTAGTAGAAAGCTTAGTTTTAAAAATGACGTGTATATATTACTAACCGCAGGGAATGCTGCTTGCTCTCTGGTATATGGTCGATTCCAGTCTTCAGTAATAACATCTGCTTGGGTATGTGGTGCCATCTGCATGTAACAATAGACAATTATCAGTAAGATTTCAAGTAGTACAGCTGAGTGGCTTTTATTAGGGACCATAATTAATAAATTACTACTAAGATACTTCTTGGAAATTGGTGTACATTTATAAAAATCACGATTACCTTTAACGGGTTCAACCGTTTGTCCATTACACCATCTTCTATATCCTTTACCTCTTTACGAATGGTTATTAGGGCTTCGCAAAATCTTTCCAATTCCTGTAAGTCTTCAGACTCTGTCGGCTCTATCATGAGAGTTCCTGCTACCGGCCACGACATTGTTGGAGCGTGGAATCCTTAAATTCACAAAGTACTTTATAATGAACACTTTATATTTCAATCTAATTAAATTTCTTTTAGTTAGCGGTGAGTTTTTCTGTAAAACTAATTTCTTCTTACCAAAGTCCATAAGCCTCTTGGCAATATCACCAGGTTCAATATTAGCTGTCTTCTTGAGATCTCTCACATCGATGATAAATTCGTGAGCAACTAAGCCTCTTTCACCCTTATACAACGTTTTATAGTGACTTTCTAATCTTCTTGACATATAGTTAGCATTTAAAATAGCAACCTGTGTTGCACGTTTCAATCCCTTTGGTCCCATCATCTATAAAACAAAGTGATCTATAATGCTAAACATAATAAATGTATAATATAATATAAACCGTTTTCAATATAGATGAGAACAAACAAGTATGGGGTTGACTTGATGAGAGGAGATATTTCTCCTCTCATCAAGTATCTCCATCTCCACTCCAGCCATAAAACATCTAAACATGATGCGCTATCGACCCATTTTGGCTTTGAATATTCAAAACTCACTTTGATATATGCCCAAGAAATTGGCAATATAGCGGAGGAGCCATAAGGAGCAGCGCTAACTGAGCCAAAACTGTGAGCATCTTCTCCGAGATCTGCCAGCGGATCCACAACAGGATGGGAGGGAAGGAATGGTGCCAAGTGAGCTTTCCTAAAAGAAGATTTAAGTTATAAAAATTCAGTGCTAAAACTCATCTGTTCTTTTGCCAAGAATACGTACACTCCAATGGGTCCCATGCCTGGGCCACCACCACCGTGGGGAATGCAGAAAGTTTTGTGTAAATTGAGATGAGAAACATCACTTCCATAGTCGCCTGGCCGACATAGTCCAACCTGCCCAGGAAATTAAAGAAGTTGTATAAATGCTTCTAGAATTAAAAGAGTGCAGTGCTAGTTTGTAATGGTTTAAAATAGCAAAGACCTGTGCATTCATATTAGCTCCATCCAAGTAAACTTGTCCGCCATGTTTGTGCACTAATGCGCAAACATCGGCTGCTCTCTCTTCAAATACTCCAAACGTGCTTGGGTACGTCAACATAAGACACGAAATATTTTTACTATGCTCTTCGACCTGAAAAACATACATTAGAATTAAAATAATAAGCTTTTAAAATAGAATAGAACAATAAAAATACAATTACCATATCTTTAAGGTGCGCCATATCTACATCCCCATTAGGGGTCACTCGAATCGCACATACACGCATGCCAGCCATGTGCGCGGAGGCTGGGTTAGTTCCATGGGCACTGACTGGAATCAAACATATGTTACGGCTGGTGTCCCCACGGTATTCATGATAGCGTTTTATGGTTCTTAATCCCGCATATTCTCCTTGAGCCCCGCTGGAAAGCAATAATTAGAATATACATAAAATAAAGCGACTTTCGGCAGCACGACGAAGGGAAATTTAATATAAAGTTTAATCAAAATGTTGGTTTATTATCATAAATACATAACATTTTATATTTTAATTGTTATAACGTTACCAATTGTATTTACTTCTACTCAAGGTTATTGTTATTTTTTAGCGAAATCCCCAAAAGTAATCCAATTTTTCTATTCTATAACTCTTTCTTTGTCACCAAGAAATACTTTTTGATAATTCTACTAAATGTACAAACTTTTATAATTTTGTCAATTTCAATTTTATAAATATGTAATTTAAATAGAGACAGGTAAAATTGGTAACCTACCTATTTGGTTGAAAGGAAACACGATCATAGCCAGTAATAGCGCAAAGATCTTTCGCTAATTCCTCAAACAGAACGTGATACCCTTGACACTGGTCAAGTGGAGCGAATGGATGGATTTCAGTGAAGTGTTTGAAAGAGCACGGCATCATTTCTGTTGTTGAATTCAATTTCATTGTGCAAGAACCCTGAAAGTTTAATAAAAAATATTTGTAAATAAATAAATCTTTTTGAATTTTAAAAATTCGTTTTCACAATTTTAAAATAACGTACTAAAGGTATCATAGAATGAACTAAGGATATATCTTTATTTTCCAGTCTCTTCATATACCGCACTAGCCTCGTCTCTGAATGGTGTGCGTTAAAAACGGGGTGTGTCAAATATGGAGAGGTTCTTTTGAAAGGTCCGTTTTGTACACTGCATGATCTTACGTCGCCAGTCCTCATGACCTATTGAAAATATTTCGGATATTAGCCTATACATAAATCTTCTTTAATGCTTTCGTTTACCATGCGTTAGTGATCGAAAGAAAATTTGAGTTTCGTTTTTAGAAATAAGTTTTCAGATTATAAGTTATTCTTATACCTAAATTTAAGGAAAACAAAGATAAGATGAATTAATTTCTTTAATTCTGGAACACCTTTTTTTTATTACCTCTTCTACTTTTTTGCAGTCGAATATCCACAGTAAATCATCTACATCTTGCATAGTGGTTGTTTCATCTAAAGCAACACCAACCGCTCCATCTTCAAAGTATCTTAAGTTAATTTTCTTTTCTTGGGCTCTAGTTTTAATTGAGTCTATATTGTGATCTTGAGTAGGAGTTATATATAGAGTGTCAAAATACACATCGTTGCTTTGTTTATGTCCTCGTTGTTGAATACCTTTAAAGTAACCATTATTTAAATGAAATTACAAATATATTTGCATTTATGCTATGTTTATAGAGTTCCACGCTTGAATCATTCTAAATGATCAATTCTAATGTATTTTGTAATTGATGTCACTCGGAACGTTATTCATCGCTCCGAGTGACATCAATTAATCAAATAAAAGAAACAAAAAAAAATATGTAGATGTAGATCTACAAAAATGTCCGCGACACTATATCTATTAAGATTAATTCGTAAGAACCGTTTTTATGGTAATCGAATTTGGTCTAAATTAATGCATTAATTGTTAGAATTGTAACAACATAATAATATTAATCTGGCAAACAACAAACGTTTGTCGGATCAGCTAGTCAAGGAGTATCTTGATTTCATTTGAACTCACCATGATCTAGAACAAGTGTTGCGTTGTGTACTCTAGTAGCAATATCTCTGAGGCCTTGTGGTCCATGATACACTGCATACATTGCTGACATATTCGCAAGCAGAGCTTGTGCAGTACATATATTAGAAGTGGCTTTATCTCGGCGTATGTGCTGTTCACGTGTTTGGAGGGCTAATCTAATAAGCAAAATATATTATAGAATTTCGAAGAAGTAAATCCATTCTAGCTCTTACAACATTGACCTAATTTTGAAGATCGAGATGTGGATAGGCGTTGATATAGGCGATATGCATTTTTAAAATTAAAGATTTTTTACTTGCAAACTTAACGTTACCTTAAAATATTTATGCTGTTAGAGAAATATGGAGATGACGTCATTAAGGAGGGGATAAGAATAAAACGCGTGCGCGCTTTTCGAGTTTGATTATGCCGACAACTTGTCTAAGGGGTGTCTCTGTCTGAATGAATAGTCAATCTGTCTTTCTTTCAAATAATTCGGTGTTATTTATTGTTTTTAAAGTAGAGTTATTTAAGTTTGTGATTAATTCAATGTAAAAACGGAACCTTTTTTATGTTCTGCTTTTAGTTTTTAAAATTACCACAATTCACAGCAATAGAATAATGGTGAGAACGTTACAATAATGTCACTTTATTTCTCCTTTTCTTTAATTATAAAATTCTAATGCGCAGTTTCTTTTGACGCAGTGGAATATTAAAACTTTGCTACTTCTTTAAAAATACTTATTTTACCTATAAGCGTCCCTCCCAGAAGCATCTCTTGTAACACCAACCATTCGACCGGGCATTAAACGCACTAAAGCATGTTCAGCAGCGAAGAAACCAGCGTGCGGCCCTCCATACCCCAGAGGTACACCAAATCTTTGAGAGGTTCCAACTGCTAACGCCGCTCCACATTCTGCAGGTGGTCGTAAAAGGGCTAGTGCGAGAAGATCGGTTGCTACGACGACTAATGTCTACAAATAAGAGTGTAATTTGAAATATGCTATGGTGGCTGGAATCCTGGATATATTACTAATAATGTTATGAAATTAGGTCGAAATGTAAACTCAATATTTTTTAACGCGATTCTTCAAGAGCTAGACTCACAAAACAAGACAGTTTGACAAAACGGATTTTGCTAATGTTATTGTAAATTGTACCGTGTAGATCCTTTGAATCTCCAAATCATACCAAGCTTACATTGTATAGTCATAAATGATTTAAAACCTTTTTTACTTACGCCGTGTTCTTGCGCAGTAGCAGCTAGCCCTGAATAGTCATAAACAAGTCCTCTAGTATCTGGACATTGTAATAGAACAGCCGAGATGTCTCTTTGTGCAAAATCTGCCTCTCTTACATCAGACAATACTTTAACTTCTAAACCGAGAGCATCCAAGCGGGTTCTGACGACAGCTAACGTTTGAGGGTGGAGACGTTCTGATACCACAAATTTCATTCTCTTATTGTGCCTAGAAACGACCAGTTAGGTAGAATTGGATAGAGAGCTTGCATTATAATTCCATCGTAAAATTTCTATATACCTGTGACACAACGATAGAGCCTCAGCTGCGGCTGTTCCTTCATCTAACAGTGATGCATTGGCTACATCAAGTCCAGTCATGTCCGTAACCATTGTCTGGTAGTTAAGGAGACCTTCCAATCTACCTTGTGATACTTCTGGCTGATATGGCGTATATTGGGTTGTCCTGGAATGGTTATTTATCATTGTGAAAGGCGTTTATTTTAATCATAGAGGAGAAGAGACAAGCAGGGGCTTCTTGTTGGGAGGTGATTTACCCCAACCATATAATATCTACTTAAGATGAACTGTCGTCCTATTTTGTCTTTGGATATTCGGAATTCCACAGACTGCAACCGAAACGCGATTAAAATTGGCGATGGCCTTCATCTGTGGACGGCAGGTCGTGCCCCGGTAAATTATTTATAAACATGTTGGACCTGGTGGGGATCGAATACAACAACTACCATTACAACAATGACCCCGTCATCTTATTTATCTTCGATGGTGTCCGTTGCGTGCGCTGCGTAAACGGTTAAAGATACCCAAAAAATATGTCTTTCTTTTAGGAATAACTAACTGGCAAGAAAGAAGTGACGCGGGCGGCATCGTGGGCTGTTACCCAAAATTTAAAAAGAGAAGGTTTAAAGAAACAAATTTTGTCGCCCAATCATTCGCGGACGAATTCGCTGGCACAACTAATTACTTATACGTACCATCCAGGATTTTCGAACATGTTTCGCATTATGGTGTGAGGAACGCAACAATTGTGGTATCCCATTCCAATATATGATCGCCATATTTGATTTTGCTCCGAGATCTTCCGAACTCTTTCAATGAGGTCATGTTCACCTTAAATAATTGCAATAGTAATAAAGAAAGTAAGTTTCGAGTTTACGTCAATAAGAATGGATAGGGCTTACTCATTGGTTCGTCAATGTTCATAAGACCGTTAAGTTGAATCATCTTTGGTACAGCATCGTTGGTTAATTCATCTAAGCTCTGCAAAGTCGTGGTTATTAGATTTTTTTTAATATTTAGAGCCTCATTATTTTAATGAAATATTACAAAGAATTTCTTTAATATTTTTATTACTATAGCGCTAAAAAATAACCAACAGGTAACTACTAGCTGCTCGCAATGGAAATTAGATAAAATCCTTTCCCCTGGGACACGCGAATACATTTGTGTGTCCGTGTCACTAATTTTATTAGGTATGTCAAGTAGTTACGTCTGTGCAGTGCCCGACCGAAACAATATTTTTTGCGTCACCGCTTTAAAAACCCAGGTTTATTCAATCGTCGATAAAAATAATTAGCGAATATCTAAAGTACTATTTAGTATTCAGAAAGCCTTACTTTGTAACCCAAAAGATCCAGCATAGTTACAACATCTTGGTCCCTGGGGCCGATATGGCGACTCGGAAAATCCACCCTCTCAGGAAAAAGTTGATCATCTTTCAAGCTTTTATTAGTTAGACAACGAAAACTCGCGCTTCCATATTTAACTTTTTCTAATGTTTTCTGCAATTCGTTATAAATTTTCGTAGGCCTTAAAAATCGAAACATTTTGAATTTAAAGAGTTACAAACATAATATTGACCGGACGCACGAAAGCTATACAATGAACTGATTGTGAGGTCAAAGCTTAATAAGACAACAAACACTATAAGATAATAAAAGATAAGCCAAAGAGCAAATAATTATCAAAATTTATACGAACTATTGCATGAGCGTAAATCGAAGGTTACTGAGTATTTTGTTAGTGTTGACCTCTTGTATCAAGCCTATCAAAGTATAATAACTTTTAATTGATATATGTTAAATCATTTAAATAAAACACTTTAACGGTTTAAAACGCGATAAATTAGTAATAAACTTTTTTTATATTGGTATTTTCATATTGTTTTAAATCTATATAAAATGTAGGTAAATTAAAATTAAGTGGTATTAAAACCGTCAACGGGTATTTTAAAAGTATCAATCTAAAATTCATTGTGTTTTCAATGCATTTTAATTATTGTGGTTAATATGTCGATGGACAATATCAAACTACTCAGCTAAAGTATGTATGCACTATATAAATTGTAAAAGCTAAATATAAAATTGTACCTATAAGTCTGATCATTGTCTAAGGCAAAAGTCTTCTTATCGACAGGTCATAGTAAGATACTAATATTCCACTAAGATACTTTTTAAAATGATAACGTCTTATGTCAAAAGTCAATTGATTAGGTGAGAACGTTTCATACAATTATTATGTCTACCTGCATTTATTGTATTATTGTAATTGACATCTTGACATTCATATATTTACTTAATATGCAACATATGTTTCAGGAGAGAACGTTGAATTGAAAAAAAAGAGATAGTTGTCTAGTCTTGTCTGTATTAAGTTTGACGGCTGCATTATCGTAATTGTGTATGAAAGAAAAACAGAATATGACCAACTGTTGCTCCTTCCGAAAAGCGTTAAAAAAAGGTAGACGTAAAAATACTTCTTCTAAAGGTATTATGGGGATATTATAGGGTACATTGTCAATGTCATTTTAAAAACGTCAAAGAACATCTGTATTGACTGTTGACATATGTAATGCGTGAATAGTCTGTAATCAGTGATGTGACGCCCTAATTACGTCGTAAAATATTTATGAACGGGGATTTTGTTACCTATTATTTCCGATTTCCATTATTTTACAAAATGTTTTTAGGTAGTGATACACCTTTTCTATATATCGTTTTCTGTATTTACACATCAGTGCTATAAAATGACTTTATTGGAATATAATCAACTGAAACGGCAAGTAATTTACAATTTTGGATTAAATGACAATAACAATAATCTTCTTGGACAACTAAAGGAGTTCTATCGTACTGAAATTGACTCAAATAGGCGTTTCGATGAAATAAACACCATTGGCCAACTGATAAACATACTGGAACTAAGGAATACTCTCTCTGAAGATAATATATCCCCTCTTAAGGAAATAGCTCAAAGATTAAACAATAATGAAATAATAAGACTCATCTGTGATTATGAAAAGTCTCATTTACCTAAAGGAAGTTTTAATTACTATGGTAAGAATATCACATTACTTAAATACTGTCTATAGTTTACGCGAGTAGTACACATTTAAATATATAGTATAATAACAGTTTATATTATATACATTTAAATACAACACTTTAACGGTTTAAATCGCGATATATTAGTTAAACTTATTTGAAAATGATTTTAACTTCGGCCCGACGTTTCGGATGCTTTGCAGCAGCATGGTCACAGGAGACTGTTTCAAATAAGTTTAACTAATATATCGCGTTTTAAACCGTTAAAGTGTTTTATTTAAACATTACTTAAAGTCAAGTATAAGTTGAGAACTTTATTTTAAATCTATACTTGTTTTTCTAGCAACAGAACAAAATATTGCAACTTCAAAAGAATTTATAGACCCATTACCCACTGGTCACCCATATGGAAATATCACCCATAGAAAGAAAGCAAGAATAATTGAAAAAATTGTTGAAGAGATCGGCACTAACTGGAGAGACCTTGCCAGAAATTTAAGAATCCAGGAAGGTCAAATTGATGAGATTGATAAAACTAAGGAAACATTAGCAGAAAAAGCTACAGAGTTACTTAAGTTGTATGAAAGGAAAGCCGATCCTCAAAGAGGATTCTATTATTTGTGTAATGCCTTAGAAAATGCCAGACGTAGAGATTTGAGTAGAAGTTTACAAAAAATTATAGTAATGAATATTTAACATTTTATTGGAAGGAAATAATCAATACATTTACCTAAACTTTATTTTAAAAAAACTTTCTATAATAATATTATAGTCATTATCATATAAAAAATCAACAATATATTTTTTTCTATACACCTATACTTAAGACTAAATAAAAGATGTCTTATATGAATTTTTTGTTTTGTCCTTTTTTATATTTCTTTTAATTGCTTCATTAATTTATATCATTTTGAATCAACAACATTCATAAAAAAAAAATTATAATCCAATGACTAAAATATTATTATTATTATAGATTTTTTATATTCTTCATTATGTGTAAACAACAATATCTATATAAAAACTTTGAACAAATAAGGAATGTCTTGAATTTTATAACAAAAAGTCTTAAAGTCTAAAATTGAGATATAGTGTATTGGATTGGATTTAAAATTGCTTATATTTGCAACATTGCAAATATAAGCACTTTTCAACTTTAACTGTTTTAAACAGTTCAATTTTGTTTGGAAGACCAAGTGTACGCGTTTTGGAAGAGACGCAACCAGGGTGAGGCGTCGTTATCGGGTTGTTGTGGTTGAGGTACAACTGCTTGCTGAGTAGGACATTGCCAGCGCAGAATACAACGCTCGGGGTGAGGCATCATGGCCACATGTCGACCATCTGGTGACCGAACACCGGCTAAGCCACCTACAGAAACATGAAATCAAGAATCATCATACACCACTGTGAGAAATATTTTTGTCTTGATATATAGTACACATATAAGTTATATTTTGAAGTTCACTTAAACCATTAAGATTCTAACTCATTCAACAAACTCCTACCCTGTAGAAAAATTAATTAAAAGTAGCTTAGCTAGCTTTAACGGTTTCCTTAATAAATTTAGTTTTTCAAAAATTATACAATGTTCTTTAAACATAAAATAAAAAATTAAATAGTGACGAACCTGGACTGCCATTAGGGTTCATTGGGTACACTTCCGTAGGTCTTCCTTCATCATCAACATACTGCATAGCAACCTGTCTATTGCTCTGCAGTTGTTCTCGAATAGATGACTGCGAGAATGCAAACCGTCCTTCACCGTGGGCAACCCAAATTCCAAGAACACTGCCGCCCATACCGCGGAACCAGACGTCCGGTTTTGTGGTGTCTTCGTTAATCTTTACGGCACTCCAGCGGCATTCAAAGCTGTGTATTCAAAAGTGTTTAGTATAAATTATAAGTGGTTATTCTAAAAACTTATTATTATTATGTCGGGTTTGTTGTTCTTTTGGTTAATGTATGGGATGTATCAACGGGGCATGGATTCGTTCCCCACCAGGTCCATCATGTTTCTGAATATCCAATGACAAAATAAGTCGACAGTACATCTTGTCTGTCCTCCATAATCATAAAAATACAAAACACACGGACAAAGATCACAGTAGTGCATAACACAGAACTTTTAAACTTTGTGACAAATAAATAGTCACATTGTATGCACCCAAGCCCAAAAACTTAAATATTTGTGAAAACTAGATACGTCCTGTACAAAATAAGTAAATTTTGGATAGGACACATGATTTTTATATTTCTCTTCGTTTCTATACGTACCGTTCGGAGAGGTTATGGTCGAGGAATATCTGGGTCTTTCTGACTGACGTGTTCCTCTGGTCCGGATCGACCCAGCCCAAAAGGGCCATCAATTGACAGCCATTGCACACGCCCAGCGAGAAGGTATCGTTTCTGTTCTTGAAATTTGAGAATTGATTGTAAATGGCTTCTGAGTATAAGATACCAGCTGCCCAGCCTTTAGCCGAACCTAAGGTGTCTGAAATATACATAAAATTGTGTAATCAGTAAATTTTAGACTATGTTTCCAATCTAATTACTTCTCACGTTATACACTCATTTACCACTTTTTTATGATAGACGGCAGACGAGCGTACTTAGGTTCTCTCGACGGAAGATGAACACCCCAGCTATATAACATTTATATAAGACGCGCTGTCGACCAATTTTGAATTTGGATATTTGGAAACACAGACTGACACCAAAAGGTGATTAAAATTCACGGATTTTCATGTGTGGACGTCGGTTCGTGACCCGGACAGAATTTCGATCTTCCTACCACACGTTTAATCCATCCATTTTATATTCAACATGTTCAGAAAAATTCTAAATCCATTAGAAAAATATTGGACCCTGTAGGGATCGAACCCACGGCCGCTTGATTATTAGCCATTCTTAGCAACCATTACACTAGCGAAGCTAAACCGGTGTCGCACAAAGCTTTTAGGACCCACTTGCCAAATAAAAAAGGCCAGTAGTATTTTTAATAATAGCATTCACAAAGGCTTACCAGCATAACTGAATCCACCAGGGAAAACTAGACCTTGGAAGGCGTCAAGGGTGATTTTCTTCGAGTGCAAATCGCTCATCGTTACGTCATATACGTCAAAGTTTGCCATCATCAAAGATGCTATCATCTCGCGATCGCCGTTAGTACCTGCGTGAGAACAAGTTTATAATAAAAGTAACTTTAAATTCTTACGATTTATGTTTCGAATTTTTATTATATTAATATATTTGATGCTGCTGCACTAACTAGACTAATAAGACATTTATTTTTTATAAAATGCTAGCAATATTAAAGTTTCAAAACATAAGAATCATGTAGAAGTTAGGTTATCTGACATGATTAAGTTCTTGCCTTATATACTGGACTTAAATAGGTGATCCCTGTATGAGAAGAAAGAACATCTACATTTTAAGGCTGATTCTTACCTTCTTCACGTAAAACAGCTACTCTGACTGAGTTGGTTTTGACAAAAGCTGCGGTTGGATCAAAAGTGACACTATAAGTTACCCCCTTTCGCTTCTCCAAACCTGAAATATTATGTACTTTATTTTTTACATTTCAAAGGAATCAAGGCAAATAAATTGCACAGTGCACAAAAGTGTTATCAATCTATTCATACAATAAAATCGGCGAATATTAATGAATATTTTTGCCCCATGCCCCAGATATGGATTTCACTAATTATAAATTACTCACCGTTCCATTCCTGCTTAATGCATTCAGAGTTAGCTTGCAAACACTCCAACTGATAACTGGTTTCCTCCCACATTTTGAAAACGTCTATCAACTTTGTGTCGACAACTTTCGCCCCATTTACTTTGACTATCACCTAAAAAGGAACATGTATCATAAATATAGTAAGACATCAGTTTACTTTATTTTCTTTGTTGTTGTTGTTGATTAAATAACTTCTTTAGCATTTTTATGCCTCAGTTGTTTCATGCTAACAATATTCTAGGTTTCGTCGGGCAAGGCACGAACTATTTAACATGCTGCAGTGAAGCAAACATAAATGAATCCGCGCGTAGCAGCGCCACGTAGGAATAAAAGGGATGTTGATTATTGAGGATAAAATGTTTTAAATTATGGATATGTACCTTAATTAACCTCCGATATTTAAAATGAATTCCTTTATACCTACTACTACTACTTATCTAAGTATTACCGTGACTTAATCAGGGCTTCCCGAGATCGAGTTAAATGTTAGTGAAGTAAAAAAATAATAACATGAAGTCTAAGTTTTATAAGTTCTGCGAAGTTATATGTGAAAGCATTATAAAGAAAACACCTGAAAAGTTATTAATTTGTGTTCCTAGTTCGGTAGAGTTTTTTTAAATATAACTAGTTAAAATGGGGGAAAATATTGCGAAATTCTGTATTCCTATAGAAGAAACTTTCAATTTCCATTGAAATAACATTTATTTTTTATTACAGTTGTTTTACCTCCGATTGCATTCCATATTTCCCAGTAGCGCCGATAACATTTGCCTGAACACCGTTCTTGGCATATTCGCTGAGCACATATTTCACGTCAGCCTGTTCAACTTCCACCACAATACCGAGTTCTTCATTAAACAACGCATTGATGGCGGACACGTGAGATTCGACTTGAACATCCAGCTGAAGACCGCGCAGACCTCCGATGCCCAATTCCAAAACAGTGGTTATAAAACCTCCTTCGCTGATGTCGTGACCGGAGAGTAATTTTCCCTCTAAAATTGCATTAAACATTTTGTGAATTACAATATATTGTAATACTTGGTGGGATTCTCAAAGTAGGTACTACTTATTTTGTTTCCGATTACATACAAAATATTTGGCGACTAAATCGTCGTGTAATAAAGTACACAATTTCTTATAAAGGTTAACTTAAATTTGGTCCAATAAAGTACATTACGTATGTATAGTTATGATAATGCGTTACGTTACATGAAATTGAGAAAAGAGCTAATGAAAGGCAATTTTAACTTATAATATTACAACTACAAGCGTTATAGGTAACTGTAACGTAAATACAATACTTACCCTTAAGTAATTTCTGAGTAACTTTGAATAATGATTTCAAAGCTTTAGGATCGTCCAAATCTGGCGGATTATCACCCAATTGTTTGTAACATTGAGCTAAGGCTGAACCGCCGATCCTAAAGAGCAAATTTACTATAAGGTATCTTTAAATAAAAAGAGTTTTGGGAAAGATCAATATTTTATAAGTTATTTTCTATATGTATTATCTGTGGTGTGTTTTATAAATTATAAAGCAATAATAATATTTTACACATAATATTTATTGTATTTAGATTGCGCGAGAGACGCATGTATCATAAGGTTGAAAAATTCGACGATGACGTGTAGGACACGGTAGCTCAATTGGTTAAGCACAGAACGCTGTGGACCTATAATCAATTTGTAATTTACTATTTCTGACTTTGATTAATTTACTATCAGACTTCTGTCTGACTTCGCACACAAAACCTACCTATAAGACCCAGGCGAAACAGGAACATAGATCAAAGCAGCTCCTTCTTTGACAAGAGCTGGTTCCACCTTGACAGTGATATCAGGGCATGGAGCATATGTTGATATCACAAGGGTACCAGGGGAACGAACTGTAATAAAAAATCTGTTATATAGTTAAGTACTTTAAAAAAAGCATTTTAACGCAAACATCAGCATCATACAAAGACAGACTTACTATTCTGTCCACCAACATTAGCACACATAGAAAGTGAATCTTTGCCACCATCTATGGCCACACCAAGTTTTCCCATCGCTTCAGTAAGTGCGCGGCAGGCCACTACAAGAGAACCTCCCTGTACGCCAGTTTTCCCTGGCCACATCCAGTTTCCGGAACATTTCACGTCTTCCAATTGACTTATTCCTGCGAATACCTGAAAATATGTGGGTATCATATGTACAAAGTTAAAATATAAGATTTACTTATTACAAAAAGAAACATAATATAACAAAAATTTTCTATATATAACAAAGTTTTGCAGATTTGAAACAGGGTAGAAAAATTAAGCGTCGTTACATCGTACGTAAGTTACATTCTACGAATTACCCAAGTTGCCTTACCAAGTTGGTCAGCGCTTCACCGAGCGATAGCCTGGCGCCAGCTGCCGGATCTAATAGACCCTTAATGTTTTGGGTTCCGATAGATGTCGCTGAACCAACCCGCTCATGGTACGAAAGTGCTATAATAGCGCAGTCAGCGAGAGGCGTGTGTAGAGGGCCCACACACTGCTGTTGCGCAACAAGCCCGGTAACACAACGGTCAACCTGATAAAGTATTAGGATATATAGTAAACATTATTCGTTAACTATTTTTTAAAATATTGGCTTCAATATTCTGCTTGAAGGACCACTAACATGATTTGAGAAATATGTATGTATCCCCTTATCGTATTTATTTTTATCCCCAAACTGTGTATGCAATTGAATGTAATTTTTTTTAAGTTGTTTTAATATAAGCCTCGTATACCTTGTTAGTAAGATATCTTTTACTGGCAACATTGACCAACCGCAACACCCGGTTCAAAGCTTTTTCGACCGTTACATCGTTTGGTAGGGAAAGTGGAAGTTTGCTTCGCTTCTCTGTTTGCAGATCAAATGTCTTCCTGGGCATGTTACCTGTGTATGCAAAAGATGGCTGACAATTATAGATAACGTGTACTAATACCAATTTTCCTATTCAATAAAATTTACATACCCAAAACAGCTTCCAAGTGCAAATCGTATGGCATTTTAGCTGCAATGTCTGGTTTCTGTCTATCAGATCTCTTGAGATAATTATCTTTGTACGAATCTTCTACCAGACTCATGTAGCCATCGCCCGTTACTTCACCAACGAACGATACGGGACATCTTTCACGGTTACATATTCCTAGAATAATACATAGGTCAATCATTTCGTTGGTATTAAGATGTAATGTGTCAAAACCATTTTCAAAATTTATCAAAATAATTTTAGTCGCCTTTTCCTAATCAGAAATTATTATTGTCTATATAAATAATGAGTCTTACATTATCTTTTTTGTAAATCCTGATGAAGTCTGTTCTCCAGCAAGCATTAAAAACAATAAACATACAACTTATTCCACCATACCTTTGCACGCAAATCGATAATTAGAATACTTTAAAGAGATTTTTGCAATATCTAAAAAAAAAAATTTTGTTTGGGGGGGGGGAAAAAAAAAAAAAAAAAAAAAAAAAGAAAAAAAAAAAAGGAAAAAAAAAAAAAATAAAAAGGAAAAATTAATGAGGGCCGGCGCGCGGGGGGGGGGGGCGGCCCCCCCCGGCCCCCGCCGGGGGGAAGCCACCGGGGGGGGGGGGGGGGGGGGAAAAACAATTTTAAAAAAAGTTTAACAAAAAAATCGCGTTTTAAACCGTTAAAGTGTTTTATTTAAATCTAAAATTTTTCTAATAGTGTTTGTGCGCGGCGGGACAAAATGGCGGAACCGATTTTAGTGAATTTTTGCATATTATTTCGTTACACCTGTGGTTTCATATGTTTCGCCTCTTTCACTCAACTATACATAAATTAGTTTCTTTTGCAGCAAAATATTTTTAGGAAATATAGATGGAAAAACAATGTCAGCTAGGTCAATTAAATTGTTTTAATAAGCGAGACCTCTCACGTATTTACAAGTATATCGCTTTTATATTTTTATAACATGGGCTGAAAATAGTGAAATCCCAGATTCCCTTCCCTTGCACTAACCTTCAAGTACAGCCCTATTCTCCTTAGAGCATAGAAGAGCGTCATTTTCCTGATATTCAGCACCCCACAGCTCGAGAGTAGTAATGGTGGGATCTCCTAATTGAAACTCCTTTGTGAAGACAACAGCGCCCTCTGGTTCAACCAGTTCCTTTAATACATTGCCGTTACCGCCAGCGCCTTGGTCGTGAATGGCTATAAGTTTTATAATGGAGATTATTAAATGTAATTTCAAAACTACCTCGTGTTTATGTATAAGTATTTTGAATTAAAATAAAGCCTCTAACAAAAACTTTTATAACATATTTGCTCGTAAAGTGGTTGTACCTGATTACACCAATTTCAATATCGTAATGAGATAAAATTGGTATTATGTAAAAGGCACGTGTTTTTTTTTAAATAAAGTTTTAAGATACTCCGTCTAAAAATGAACGATACTTTTCAAAATCTTAGCAAAGAGGTTTTATGTTAAGAAAGTGGTCAATATTCTATGAATAAGTTTAACTTTGGGAAATAAAATATAACAAATAAACATTTAATTCTTTAATTTAATTAATTTTGACAATAAATTACAACCATTTATCTATAACAAAAACACAAAAATATTAATTTACTTTATTAGTAATACTGGCTGTTTATGTACCTTTGCTTAAAAAAACCATTGATGCGCGCGCATGGCTTATAACTGCTTTAACAATTAATTAAAGATTTATTCGTTTAACTAAGTTAGAGTTTTATTAATTTCCTCGTAAATATGTTATAAAACGTCGTATGACATACGTGCGCTTTGAAAATTACAGCCTCTGCTTTCTTATAGCCCTCGCCGATGGCCGATAGTAATATCGCCTCGGCTGTAGTTTTCAACTTACCGCACTTATATCATAATGTACAATTACGGGATCTACTTCGAGTATAACATTATTGGAATTAAAAAAATATTTTGTCTGACGGGTTCGTTTTAAGTCAAGAAATTAATTTTTTTTTATATTATATATATTTGTTGAAAAAAAATAATAGGGCAAAGAAATAAAGTATAGGTACTATTTTTGTATCATTATTGTTACTTAATAAAAAACCAAAAGTGTAACGATTGCAACATGTAATTATTTATAACATGATTAATTATCAAACAATTAAATTAATAAAAGTATTTATATATGTAATTGGCATATCAATTAAATTGAATGTTATGTTTAATGTACCAACTTTACGCTTCGCTCGTTAAATGAATCAGTACTTAAAAGAAACTTACATTCAACTGGATTTATGTCGGCTTCAAGGCAGCCCCTCACTACTCTATTAAGTCGATTCCCCATTTCAGCATCGCCTATAACATTATTATTACGTATAAGAAATTATGGTATCACCTACAAGCTGTACCAGAGAGAAGGTACTTCCTTATTTGCATATTAATGTAATATTTTCTATTGTGGACACCGGTAGAAGGCCGGTTGATCAGTCCACACCAGCTGACTATTTTCACCCATTTCATCCTACTCTCACTTTGGGTAATTCAACTCTTACTGTTTCCCCTACACTTTCCGGTTTGATTGCAGAATCTTAAGGCATACATTATTGTAAAGGACTTAAGTTAAATAAGACAATTTTATAAATTCTTGAGTAGTTTTAGAATTGATAACGTATCCATTTTAATTCTCTCATCGCTTATTTGGCACAATACGTAACGACGTTGCGTCTTGTCCATTTTACTTGCCCTATTTGACCACAACACACCTCGGTATTGGATCTAGGAACTCAAGCGAGCTATGGGGACAGTGAAAAGTAAAAGAAATTGACGAAGAGTTGAAAGTAGTAAAACGTGATTACGTGAGATCTAAATAAAGAACGTAATATAAAAAATATTGATACCTCTCTGCACAGCTCCAAAATCAAGAGAATGGTCTCGAGAATCTCCACCCTGTACTGCCACTGAGGAAGCAGCACCACCTCCAACACCGATACGATATACCGGACCACCCACTTTCACTAACAGCATTCCTAAGATAAAAAATAAGTACCTTTTAAAAAAATCTAATTGTCAACGAACATGGAAATCATTTAACTAATTTTTATTATATATACATAGGAAACTAAACTTGACTATAAAAAGAACAATACAATGACATGATCTTAAAACAAATTTATTAGTAATTGTCCTGTACTATTAATATTTTATTAGTTATTATACAATATAAAAAACCATTAAACTCTTTAGATCCAAGGATATAAAAAAAAATTTGCTACAGCCCATATTCACATACAAATAACTGACCTCCATTAGATCCTTGTAAAAAACATTTAATTGAAAAATATCGATTAATAAATTTAAATGGATGTCTACAATGATAATTGCCACTTCTAATTAGTTTCCAATTTGTAAAAAAGTTAAATTAACCACTGTGTTTTACATACCCTTTTCCGGTTTGTTCTTTTTAATCATTTGGTGGGGCATGTAACCAATCCCACCGCTGAACATAATCGGTTTTATGAATTCTTCTCTAACATCGTCGCCGTTCTTCAAGCCATACGACTGAACGAAGCCTGAAATTGGAAGAAACCAAGTATGAAATAGTTTCTTGCGACCTTTGTATTTTACCATCAGAGTTCTTGAAATGAAGGAAAGTTTTTTAATTTAAACAAACATGTTGAAAGCTTTAGTATTAAAAAGTTTTCTTCCATTTTTTGTTACTGTTTGAAACTTTTATACCAAAGTATTAGTCAATAGATACAATCAGTGGCCCGTTATATTTTTTTTAATAGGTTACAGACATATTTTACCTGATATTAAAGGTTCTCCAAATTTATTTCCGTAGTCGGAAGCACCATTACTAGCCTCAATAATAATTTGAAGAGGACTCGCAAAGTTGTTCGGATACTTCCAGTCTTTTTCCTCCCACGGGAGATCATAACCTATAATTTTTTTTCATTAGTAGGTAACCTCCAATTGTTGTTTTTACAGTAGAATTGATAACAATATACATAAGCACGGCTGATTTCGTACGTAATCGACGTTGTTTTCTTGTTTGTATAATTTCTAACAGAAGTTGCGTTATACGAGGTCTCGTTATCATATGTTGTAATAACTTGAATGAAACGCTATTATATGAATTCATAAATCTTAAGTCAATTCTAAGTAGACGGGTAGTACACATTTAATTAACCATTTTAACGGTTTAAAACGCGATATTATTTATGTTATTTTAAACTGCGCTCGACTTTTGAACACTGTCAGCTATAGACCACAGCTCCAAAAGTTTTATTTAAATATTGACAAAAGCCTTAATATAAGATTTTCTTGTAAAATGTATTTAAGTCGATTCCATTATATGCCATACTATGTAGTTAAGGCAATCACATTATGTCTTTTAATAATAATTTAGTTCCCATAAACAATAATTAAAATTGTTTATAATTCATGTTCTTCTTTTAACTCACCAGGAATAAGCAGATTCCCAACACTATATCCAGCTGTACCAGCTACCGTGTGACCTCCCCTGCCGACACCCTGGACATCCCTTATTCTTCCCCCCGTACCAGTAGTAGCACCACTAAACGGTGCCACTGCTGTAGGCATATTATGTGTTTCCGCCGTAAATATTATATCTGACTCAGTCACCTCCTCGACTACCTGAGAGGGTGCTTTCACATCACTTGGCCGCAACTTTGTGTGTTTAAATCCTTTAATCGCACTACAATGTGAAAGGTACTTTGATTAGTGGAAAAATTTTGGACATAGAACATAACCTGTTTTTAACTTCTTTATATGTATTTATATCTTTACATTTCTCCATGGCTACAAGTCTACTTGACTTTACTTGATATGATATTACTCAAGTTAGCATTAAAAAGTTTTTAATTAGTTTTGTATAGTCCTTATTTAACTGAAAAATCTCCATCTCTTGACACATGCCCCTTGATTGTGTTACAATGATAAGCGACCCTGCTTATTAATTGACATAAAACTTCATATACCTGCTGTTATCCCCAAATTTAATAACATTATTATCATTGGAATGCTTTTGAGTTGACGCAACCATATCTATGAGGGACTCATCTATTTTCTCTCCATCTAATATCATTTGACCCTGTAACATTAAGTGCCATGGATAATGAAATTATAGGTATAAAGCATATTGTGTAAATAACAAGCCGGTTGGTGATATTATTACATCAGCTGTATTGATAAGAAGTTCATGCTAAGTTATTTATAATCTTAAGTATTGAATCAAATTTGTTGAGTACAATTTTGTTATAGATATAGTGTTTACACTTTAGGTATTATAAAAATAATGCTGTCTTTGTTGTTTCATGATTAAAGAAAAAAGGCCCTGGCATTTAATATTAAGGAAATATTATAAATAGTTTGCCTGTAATCAAAATCAACAGTAAAACAAAGCAGAAATTGGTCTGCTAGTAACAATCTAGAAAATATAAATTTAAGCTCATATAAACCAGACATATAATGTTATATTTTTTACTCATTATTAACTAATACGTTAGCACTTAATTAACGATTTGTCATTCGAGAAATTTCTATTTTGTACCTTAAAAAACCAATGCCTAGAATGTTCACTATTGCTCTGCGCAAGGTCAAACAATTCCACACTAGTTGGATCTCTTTTCAATTTATTGACAAAAAGATCCATATAGAATTGCATGTCCCAATTGTCAAAGGCCAAACCTAAAACATTTCATAACATAATTACGGACTTATCCCTATAACAATAAATTAAAAAGGATTTTTGACAAATATTTGAAGTCATACCTAATTTTTGATTGACTCTTTCCATTGCAGCCATGCCTTCTTTCTGAAGAGGCACAACATACCATGCTTCCAAATCCTTTGGAAGACCCTCATTGAAACTGTGTCGAGGCAAGTTTTCCTTAGTATAAATACACTGGGTCATTCTATCATGTAAAGTCGCAGCAAGGCCCTCAAATAACGTTTTGTTTATTTTCTTAACATTTTTAAAGGTAATAAGGTACCTTGTTGATACCTCAAGGCGGACCACATCATGCAGACCAACACTTTTGCATATTTGAACAGAATTACTGGAATCTGCAGTTGAGAAATTGAACCTAAAAACATAAATTATACATCTATTTTATCAAATTTCCTGCATATTATTATTATTCTTTAATTTTCATACATACTATTGTTATTAATAGCATTTTTGGTTTTTAATAGTTCATAAAGAATACCGATTTAATCAGTACATTACAGAAAAAAAATTAAAACCTTGGTCCTATTTCAATAATAAGCTGGTCATCTTTTGTAAACTTGTATACAGACTCGTTCTTCAAAGAATGTGGCTGCAAGGGAGAGCTTAGAAGCCACTGTAGGATTTTTATTTGATTAATATTTAAATAATCGCATCCCTCTTCAAGTTCCACGTGATAGCATAGTTCAGTTGACAAAGCTGACACATCTGCGTCAACACTTTTTAATTTCTCCAATATTTCATTCGTTTTGTGAGCACTAAAGGCTTCACACGTAAAAAATCTTATAATACACATTGTTAAGCACGACCACCCTTGCGGAAAAAAAATAACTCACTACTTCACAACCACTGCCTCTATGCGCAGGCGCACTACGCAAGCCGAATTCCCGAATGTCAAATATAGGTATATGACATTGGCAGAATCCATTCAGCACGGGAAAACTATGAAGAAGAAGAAGAAGGCAAATAACCATGTAAAATTTAAACAATATTAGGATTTGACACTCGTTCCATTATCATTATCACAATTAACATAATTTAGTAATTCGCAATCTACAAAGTTAAAAAGATTATATGACTGTGCTGATATCAGATATGAAACCTTTTTACTCCTAAAAGTAACGACAGTTAAATGTATAAGCAATTCAATTATTTACTTAGTTGAAAACAGTAACATCCTAACAAATAAGATTTATAGAACTTGCACACACACTTCCCACAGGAGTAGGAGAATCAATGTATTGTAGGTTCATATTTTATCACATATTTATAAAATCTTATTCTACCTTTACATTATGTCATTATAATTTATTATTTAAAGTAAAGTATGCATGATATGTAATATTAGTTTAAAATTGTTAAATCAACTAGAAATTTTAAAGTACAAAGTTTACAATAAAATATATTTTTTTCCATTCCCTTTTTTTGGCCTTTTAGTGGCTATGCAATACAATCAACATATTATAATATATGTTTTAATAATTATGGATTCAAAAGATATTTTATTTTTATTAGTTTATTTAATTGAAATTAGTGGATGGACATTACATCAAAATAAAAATTAATGATAACTCATTTAAGCGAGGTGACTTTTGGAAATATTAAATGGCAACATAGTTAGCTTGGCAATTGGCATCTGGGAGTAACATTTTGATTTTTGCTTGGTATAAGTTGCAGCCATCTTGTGTTTTGTTGAATATGGCGGTTAGTCACATTGCTTCTTAGTATCCATATTTTAATCGAATAAAGTTCTGTAACATGTGAAATTAAATGGAAGTTGGTCATTGTCTTGGGAAAATTACGAGTTTATAAGCGATTTAGTAATTCTGGTATTACCCAAATAAAAGCGAAAAGGGTTTTACGGCTGGGAGCCTCTCCCAAGCCGCTTTTACTATTGATTTATTGATTACTCTTAAATCTATTCAAAATGATGATGTATACGGTAAGGATTTAATAAAATATGTATTGTCTTGTATTCAACTAATAATAACTAACTAATAATAGTATGTGCTTTGGAATTCTTCAAAAGAAATAACCTCAAACCTGGGTTATACTACGAATGATTTCTCCGTGCTTTGATTTTTGAAACCTTATTTATCTTGATTTAATCCGGGTTCATTTATAATTTTTAGTTTTCTAGAATATTTATTAAACTATATCGGCTATTAATAACACATTATTTAACAAATTATTTTACCATACAATTATACTTAGTTCACTTCTTGCTATGTTTTTAACAAGCTTTACAACCTACCATCTTAATATATAATTCATATAAAATCTGTAATTAAAAACTATCTTGGGTACTCTCCCTTTGTAGATTTACTTTTATAGAAATAATTTACAGGGAACTAGTACGGAGCAGGATACGCGGTTCAGTGACAAGGAGAAAAAGCTGATGAAGCAAATGAAATTTGGCGATTGTTTGACCCAACAGGCTAGTTAATTTAAATATTATTTAAATACCTAAGCCTTACTATAACTTTAACACACATTGTGCGTGTATTATTATTAGTATCTATTTATATTTTATGCAGTATATTAAAGTTGAGATTTTAAATCATAGTCATGTTTGGTGGAGTCATGGGCAATCAAAATTTAATTAGATTGTTTTCATTGTGTCAAAAGATGCTATTATCTGTAAACATACTAATTTTTATATAGGTGGACATGTCCAAGGTGAAGCTTGACGTCCTAAAGCCTTGGATCACCCAGAAGATCACAGAAATATTGAAGATGGAAGACGACGTTGTTATTGATTATGTCAACAACCAACTCGAGGAAAAGGTGGCTTAAACTTATTTACTTCTTGAATTCCTAAAGCTCTGTAATCATTGCAGTTTCTTTACAACATATGTGTTATTTGTACATTGTGCAAGTACGTATTGGGTTATACACATTACTTAAAGAAACTGCAATTGAAAATTATGAAATGTAATTGATTGCGTATGGCTATTTTTATGGTCGCCGGTTAGCACGCCGCCGCCGTGTGCAGCCTTCGCCGCCCGCTGCCGTCGAGCGCCACAACACCCTTGCGGAGGCCCTTAGCATTTTCAATCGGTATTTACGGGGAAATTTAGTAATTAATGATAACTCAGTTTAATCATTAACGGAAACGAGTGTGCCTCATATATCAAAAGAGAGAACTGAAAACACGTCTCGAAGGCGATCAGAGACACATGACTCACGGTACGGAAGTCTCCCCTTTAGGCTTTGCGGTCAGCATAATGTGGTTGTGTTCGCAAAACCCTTACAGATACAAAGGATTGAAGACTGAAGCTCCAATGTTGCTGTCGGCGTGCATCGTTGCTTCGATCGCGGTCTACGGGCAGCGTTCGAGACATCGTTGTCGCGTTCGCGTCGCTGCGTCTTCATGCTGCCACCGCTTCGCTGCTGAAGCCGTCCTTCGCATTAATCAATAATAATACAAATGTATATATAATGCACGCTTCCCTACTGGAGTCATGCCATGTTATCTGAAAGTACAAAAAACAGTGAACAATCTCTGATCGTCTTTATCGTCCACAAAGTACCAGAAACGTAAAACAGAACAGAGGCTATGAAGGGCAACCGTTAGGATTCGTGTTGGGAGGGTTAATACAGATGACTAATGATTGTGTTTTTTTCTTTCCGATCCGTCCTCTACCCAGTTTCCTTGCCCAAAGAAGATGCAGATCAACTTGACCGGTTTCCTCAACGGAAAGAATGCACGACTTTTCATGGGAGAGCTATGGGAGCTGTTGCTGAGCGCGCAGGCCAGCGACAACGGTATCCCCGAGTCTTTTACACAGCAGAAGAAAGAAGAGATTAAGAAACGAATGGTTCGTTTTTTTTCGTATTATTTTGAAGAAGACCCATGGCTCCATTGATTACTGATCTATATCAATTATTTAAAAGACTGTTTCTAAAGCTCTATACATATTGTGACTACCTACTTTCTTTTACTTTAAACCGCCATAAGATTATTATGATAGTTGTATGAAATGTTTTATTGATTGTTAATATGCAGGAAGAACAGCAAAAGGACAAAGATAAAGACAGGGACAGACGTCGAACTCGATCCCGCTCTCGGTCGAGGCGTTCGCGCGACCGTCGCCGTTCAAGATCAAGGTCGAGAGATCGAGATCGTTCTACTGACAGGAAGTTAGTATAGACTTTCATAACATTGTCTTTTATGTGTATTTTACAGGAAAACCGAAACGCAATGAAATGGTTGGCTTTTTCAAGTGTGGGGGGTGATTTGTGCCCTGTCAACAACTTTCAAAAAAATAAAATGTTTGGGATCGAATACACGGCACGTTGGTAGGCAACTAGTAATCAGAAATTTAGAATGTAATGTATTAGTATTCCATACTGTATTTTTATAAAACACATTATAATTAATACATCATGTTGGATGGATATACATATGTAGGGTATATGTGCTGTTATGAATATTGTGTACTTGTGATTCACAGGTATCGTGGTAGCAGCCCGCGGCGTTCCCGACGACGCAGTAGGGACAGGAGTATTCCCAAACCACCACCACCAGTAGATGACATAAAACTACCAGAGCCTAAGGGTAATTATCTTCATTTTTCGCTTATACTTGTAAATAGTTAAATGTAATTTTATTTACTGCCTTTGAGCAATACAACTTATATTGCTTTAGTAGTGAAAGTATAGTATCTTAAAAATTGTTTCTTGCTATATATCTAAGCCACATAAAAAATTCTCAGAAGGTTTAATGGAGTTTTGAGTGATTCTTTTACTACACCATTAAAAGTAGTTACATTCATGTCTCAAGGGCTCCCCAATTCAATAGGTCAGATCTCTAAAACCCACAGTACCGATGAGTATTCTCAACATGTGTGAATTTTAGGGTATATAACTCATTAACCCAGTACATTCTGCATTGTCATATGTTATGTTGAATATATTCTACTAACTGCAACGAGTGTAGAGATATTTTGTGATTTTTTTCATTTTATATGTTATGTGATTATCCCTTAAAGAAAACGGCAAGTCCCCAGAGAAGAGAGAAGAGTTGGAAATTAAAGAGGAGAAGCATGAAGAGAACAACCACTCTGATCAGCTGAAGGACGACTCACATGTGGAAGAACAGACTGAAGTGAAGAAGGACAAGTCTAAATCTCGCTCAGCCTCACCTGCCCGGTACTATATCTTTTTCTTTTATTAGTTTCCAAAGTGAAATACAATCATGACTAATAGAACTGCTTCTATTTGTATATTTCAATCTTTAACAAATAACATGACAAATTATGTGGTCCTTCCTCTTACAGGGCCTATAAAATGGTCTACCTTTGCCTGGTCTATTCGTGTCTATTAGCTTATTTAATAATACTGATGATGTAAAGTAAAAAATGTTAACAATATCATTATTCATATTAAAGTTATCAAATTTAGCCAGGAGACACACTAAGCTTAGTATTTTTTGTAATTGTCACATCAGATCAGACAAGGATGAAAAGGAAAATGATGACAAAGCGGCTGAAAAGAAACATCGCGAATCAAGTGATCGCCGATCGTCGTCAGCTTCGTCGCGTAAGTGTTTCTAATATGCACTCACCTTATCATATAATATGACCGCCTCTGTAGCCAAATGGTTAAACGTATTGCCTAGCATTGCGTTATGCGTGAGAGGTCCTGGGTTCGAATCACAGGGGAACAAAAATAAAAAAGTCGTTTCAGTCAGGTAGGTCACAGAAGACTGATCAACTACTTGCCTATTTTCGATCTTTAAACTACTTGCCTGTTAAAAATGAATCAGTGAAACGGACACAGAAATGTGTTCGCCCACGAGGGGGAAATGGGATTTCACCCACTTCACACTAATATAATATAAATGTTGTAATAATATAGAAGCTTGCAAATATTTCTTTTTGTAGTATATATATATATATATATGTTTTTATGATCAAATTTGTAGGCGGCAGCATTAAGAAACCGACGTCACACAAGAAGCGTCACTACCGTTCCAATAGGGATTCGTCGACAAGTGTTAGTCCGAGGCGTAGCACGCGTAGAGAGAGGTATTTACTAAAAATATTACTACTATTATTATTTACATTTTTCGATGGAGAGCATGAGTTAGAATGTTCAAAAAGATAGTGCCATATCTGTAAACAAACTCAAAAAGAGAGTTCCGTGCACTTTTCACTACATCCATACTAAGTAGTTATTATAAGGTGTAAATTATTGCTAGGTTATGGAACAATAATTTCAGTTCGACCAAAGCTTAGACGGCGATTATATGACGAGTGTGTGATTTTTATAAGATGAGTTTGTTTTAATTGTATTTAAAGACATCACTTGTGTTCAAAGTTTCTCTGTCAGTCCACTAACCATTGTGAAAAATATTAGGAGCAAGTCGCGCCATCGCAGTAGCCGCCGCAGGTCCATCGAGCGGAGGGAGCGAGACAGGGAGCGCGAGAGAGAGCGAGAGCGGGAAAGAGAAAGAGAACGCAGGCGCCGCGAGAGAGACAGGCGGGACAGGTATACTTTGATTTGTCGCTGTTTTTAATTACGTTTTTGCAAAAGTTGTTGTTTTAAAACTGGTACATAGTGGTAGAGTTAAAAAGAGGGGCTCCAGGTCCTATTAAACTGCACCGTAACAATGAAAGGAAAATGTCGTTAAGAAATAAATCGGACAGTATCAAAATTAGAGTCTTTAATCTACTAAGATTATAGAAATATGCGGTTTTATGATTATCTTTCAAATGCCAATGTTATATATTATATAATTCATTTAAATATAACAGAAGAAAATGTTATTCATTTCGTTATTTTTCTTTTCTAAAATCAATCACACGCGTGACGTCGCTTGTGGGCAGCATAGAGTGCATCTATTCGCATTAGTTAGCCCCCCATTTAACGTGTCCCTAAGACCACTGCAATCATATGCCAAATCCCCTTATGTTGAACAATTTTATTTAAAAGTACATAGTCGTTATAACTTATTTATTATCTATTTAATTTTTATTTTAAGTTTATGAAAGCGAATTATAGATGAGATTAAATAAAACGAATCCAGGTCACGCGAACGTCGCCGATCGCTTGAAAGACGTAGAAGGTCCCGTTCACGCTCTCGACGACGTTCTAGAGACAGGTAATTTATTTTCGTTTTTAATTTTGTTTTATTCTCACCGCGTTGACATTAGATGCAGCATCTGTTATTCAAGCTTTGAAGTTACGTAAAGTCATGAATAGTAGACGAATCAGATATTTTTCGCTTTTGTTCTCTGGTTTTTATAACATGCAATAGTAATATAGTGTTGTTCTATTTTAGAAGCAGATGCTGCATTAATCATTGTAACTCAATATCAATACTTACAAAATCATTTTACAATTTTAGGTATAGTTTTAATTTAATTCACCCTTAACTTATTTAAATTTTGTGGTCGTTAATTTCTCTTTGCTTTCACTTCTATTTATAGAATGTTACTTTAGTGCCTAATTATACCCAGATATAATGAGATTGATTTAAATCTAAATTCAAATTTTGATTGATATGTGAAGTTAAGTCAAGAAGTGGAATTATTTTTTGGTAGAATTAGACATTAAAAGACATAAGTAATCTTTACGTAACTTAATAATGAAGAAAGGAGTCGACACTTTTATAAGTTCTTCATTTTGGCTAGATCTCGTGATCGTCGGCGGTCGCGCTCGCGCAGGCGTTCGAGGTCTCTGCGTCGTTCCGGTCGTCGTTCGCGAGATCGTCGTTCCAGGGATAGAAGGTCGAGGGACCGAAGGTCCAGAGATCGTTCTAGGTACGATATCACCATCATAATAGGATAGCTTAAGATTTTTAAAACACACGTATTGTTATACTCCATAAGAGTTTTTGACATTGCTGATATTGCTGTATGATCATTGATTATTTTTTCTAATGCAAGTGTAAAACGTTGCTCTTAAATGGTTTACTTTTAAGGTTCTTTATGGTTAAGTATTATTTTAAAGGGACAAGAAGTCACGCGATCGCACCAAGGACAGAAGATCAAGAGACAAGAAATCTCGCGAAAGAAGATCCAGTGACCTCATCAAAGAACGGTTGGAAAAATCTGTCTCAATACCCCGTAAAGGTATCTATTTATTTATTTTTTTAAATTCCCTTGCAGGGTAACTCGAATCCATAGACAAACATTTCGACTTAACATGTAGTAGACATAAATTGTACTTTTTGAAAATTGTTGGTAATTTTTTTCTCTTCAGAAACGTTTGAGAAATTGCGGCCTCCGTCAATAGACCGTGTCTCGTTGCCGCGTGATGAAGCTGTGAAGGTGCAAGTGTCAAGTTCCAGTCGTGAGTCGTCTGTCGCCAACGACAAATCGGCATCTCAAGACGACACTCTTGTGAAATCCGCTCATACGTCCGACGAAGACGACTTTATTCCCATTCCGACATTGCGAGACTATTCTAAGAGTTTGACACGTACCCCTTCGCCTTTCATAAGGAGACCAAAAGTCTCAAAGAAGTCAGATCGATCAGGCGACGAAGTGTCGGATAAAGATCAGCCCGAGTCTGCTGCTGCCGCTCAAGAGACTAAAAAGAAACGTAAACCTAGGGCATCTGAGTCTGAAAGTGATAGTAGCGAAGAGGTTCCCAAATCTAAAAGCAAGGCCAAGCCAAAACGCAAGGACAAATCTAGTTCACGGCGCTCTAAAAAGGTCAAAAAGGACACTTCTTCTAGTGACAGCGAATCTGATGATTCTTCTTCCAGCGAATCAGAAGAGGATAGAAAGAAAAAGAGCAAGAAAAATGCGAAGAAAAAGCTCTCTAAAAAATCACGTAAGAAGAGAGCGCGTTCTTCGAGTTCGGAATCTAGCTCAGAAGAGGAAATCAAACATAAAAGTTCAAAATCCAAACAAAAAGGCATTCCCGAGGAATCGGATACTGAGAAAAAAGGTAAAAAACGCAAGGAAATAAGCGTGGAACGAACTAAGTCCGAAAAAGTCGACATAAAGCAGAATAAATCTAAAAAACCAGAAAACTCGGAAGAATCTAACGAGGAAAGTTCCGAAAGTGACAGTAAAATAAATAAGAAAAAGACTAAGCACGAGTCCTCATCGGAAAAAGAAACGAGACGTAAAAAACCTGATGCCGTCAAAGTGACTTCCCCAGAGGTGTCAAAATCTAAACGAGATGATAAATCCAAAAGCAAGCAGATCGATGAAGTAAAAGCTAAAGCACGCGACGAAGAAAGAAAGGGCAAAAAGCGCGAAAAGGAAGAATCATCATCTGACAGTGATCAGGTCTCCAAGAAGAAGAAAAAGAAAGTGTCTGAATCAGAATCGGACTCTGAAAGTGATGAACCGAAGAAAAAGCGTGCCAAAAAGCATAAGAAGCATTCAAAGAAACACAAGAAGCATAAGAAACACAAAAAGGCCTCGAAAAAGAAGGACGATTCTTCAGAGAGCGAGGAGGCCGAGGAAGAGGAAGAAGGTAAAGTGAATAATGAAGATTTAGAAAAGAAACTCAGGGAGAGAGCACTCAAATCAATGAAAAAGCAGACGAGCGCTTCTGGTTCTGATTAAACACGTTTCTCACGTTTGAGCACCATTTCAATAAAATTTTAATTCATTTTCGAGTTGCAGTCTATCACTTTGATAAGAATGAGATATAATAAGGATTATTAATGATTAGAGGATTATGTTTTATTTACACTGTGTAAAAGGTAATGAATGTGTAATATTAAGATTGATTATTCCTTCATTAGTTATGAATTTTTTCGTTAGTAATAAAGCTTGCAACATTGACATTCTCTATTTTATTACCAGACAAGGTGTCCAATGTTTTAGTCTTCTTCAGGTCTTTCCTTTTATCCATGATACTACTATTTATTGCCTTAAAGATGTAAGGTTAAATAAATATTATTTATACGTATAATGTTTGAGAGGCAAAAGATAACAAGAAAGAAAAATTGCCTATATGCCTGCATATAATGGAGCTTACAGTGTAGAATCTAAAGTTAAAGCAGTTTTGGTGTCAGAACTACAAATTTATTACATAGGTAACTTAGTTTATTAAATTATAACTGGAAAAACGTACCATCTTTTCCCCGTAATAAAAAACAGTGATTTTGTAACAACTTTACTAATTCCAACAACACATACTTAGAACAATCTTTGGTAAACGAGTGAAAAAAGCCGGACCCGATAACTACGTTAACATCTACGTCACGTTATACGTATATACATATATAAACAACTATTCATAATTGACTATCGTCTCGAATAACCTCGATACCCAGTAACTAAGTTGGGTGTCACCCCGCTTCCATATATGTTGCCAATACCGAAGCGTTTATAGTAACCAAAACCAAGGTGATTCGAATCTTGATAATACGGATTATTGTAACCGTAATATGACTCCAGCCCACCATTACCGCCATAACCACCATAGCCTCCATACCCACCAAGGCTACGGTAACCTCCCTCAACTAATTTTTCATCTTGACCAGGGTAGTAACCGTTTTGTGGATATCTTCTTGGGTCTTCCAATATACCATTTCCAGTGACGCCGAAGTTATATCCACCTGGGTTACTTCCACCCCAATCGTAGTATTGATGGGAGTCTGAAATGTGTTATAAATTGTTATCGAATAAGTCAATAAAAAATTTTAACGGTTTAAAACGCTAAATATATTCGTTCGGTGAGGCAAAGCACCAACTAGCAAGACCTAGGTTTGAATCCTGAGAAGCGCAAGTTTAGGGCTGTCACACAACACGTCTAAACATTACGGTATGGAGGCAGTCAAGTATGATCTTCATAGCGCCATCTGTAGACTGAATCATATAATCTTCATTTCCAACCACTTATATTTCAAAAATAACTTACATGAACTGCCAGCTGTTTGAAGATCTACCAAATCTCGTGTAGTCTTAGTTGGTTTTGCGTCTGCGTTGAATTTAGACACAAATGATAGAAAAATAATTAAGTACTTCATGTTTTTCAGCTCCATCTGAAAACGAAAAATGGAAGACCAGATAGATATGTTAATTGTAATTATTACTGACTTCGTCCGCCTAGAATAGTTATTTTGGGCATCCAAAATTGTTTTTGCTAACTGTCTTAAGCATCATCAGTCGCGACCCGACGTTGTTGCGAGTTCATCTTATGAGTCTTAAAAGTTAGACATACTGTCGAGGAAGTTTTTTTGATAATCTAAAGTAGAATCATTGTCTCATACATATTTTTTGTGTATCTTGAACCATTTTCGCAGCGCAGGAACGTATCGAAAACCTTCCTATTCCAGTTCTAGTCACAGGGCAATGTTTGCCTTCCTCGATAAATGTTCTAACCAACAAAAAATATTTTTTTTTAATTGGAACCAGGAGTTCCTGAGATTAGCGCGTTCAAACAAACGAACAAATAAACTCGTCAGTTTTATATATTAGTAAAGATTTACTTATTTCCGTGTGAATTCGTAAGAATAGTCTTTCGTTTATAGTTTACGGAAACAATGTATCACAGAAACGGTAAATTAATTGCAGTTTATCTCACTAATGCATCTGTGTTCGTCAAGGTAAAACTGATTTGTTTGACCCTCAAAACACCATTGTAACTTACATGGCTAAGTTACAATGTTATTAGGCTTAATTTTTAAAAATCTTATTACGTCATGGGACATGGGGTAGACAAATTTCTGTGACTGTTTCACGAATCTATACTAATACTATAAATAAAGATTTTTTGAATGCGCTATTATAGGAACAAATGGTTCGAATTGAAATATTCTTTTTCATATGCGTTCATAGGAGCAGAACAGTGGGGAATTTAAAAAACACGGGGAAAATTATTCATCTTTGAAGATTTCCGTTACAAGCGCTGACCAAAAAAATATGTATGAAAGAATGATTCTTCTTTAAATGATCATAAAAATATCCGCGACAGTGTATGTTTCACATCTATCTTTTAAGATTAACTTGCATAAGGAGCTATAATTTATAAAGATGATGAGGTCGGCAAAAACAAATTTTAATAACCAAAATATCAAGATTTTTGTGCCCTGTAGACCTAAAATAAATATAAAATAATAAAGTCAAATCTCGGAGAAGGTCAGTCAGTGTTGGTCTTTCAATTAACCGTAAATAAAATTGATTACTTAACTAATCGATTTTATTTACAATTAACAGTGCGCAAAGTAAAGGGAATCGGCAATTAACATTTATAAGCGTTATGTTTACTTTAAGGTAGGCCTATATATTAATATAGTAGGTAACGATTAAAATCAAAAATTCATTTTAATAATGAGCATAAAGTTAAACGACAGATAGATCTATTTTAAACTGTTCAAAAATCTGTCTTAAAATAAAACTGCGATTTAAAAAAAAAACACGGCAAGGAAACGGAAACTGTATTTAACCTAATTTAATAATGACTCGACTCTGAAAAGCACCGGGAACCTTTTTCAAAATATTTTCAATCTTTACCACTTGCGTAAAATTCAAAATTTCAGTCAATGATAAAAGGATTGATTGTAACAAAGAAACTGTAGTATATACATAACAGAGTATACGATCACCTTAGACTTGAAAGCTATAGTCACTTGCGTCTAAGTATAGTCTTTTAAGATAAGTTTTATCAAAATAATATGACTTACACTTACCTTAAACGTCCGAACACTGTCCGTAAAAACTACTGCTGCTGATGTGCTGTTGCGTGTAGGGTCAACCTTTATAAACGTGGGAGTCTTGTCTCAAATGAGAACAGTGTCTGAGGCTGTAATGAGTGTGTTTGTAAGCATATCGTCCTTCTACAGAGATGCCATGGCGCACACTAATTTTATCTTAACAATGCGTCGTTCAACGCATTAGGCAGTTTTTAATATGGTTGCCGGCTTGTAAGGTCGTAATAATATTGACATATTGAAATAGTCTAATTACTATATTATCCGTCTTTAGCCTGCGTGGAGAAGAGACTTTTAGAAGATACATTTTTAAATAAAGAAGAAATTGTTGCAAAACTTTATTTTATCAATAAAGTTTTGCGGATTATTCACTAGAGTTTTTACAAAATATTATTAAAGTACTGATTTAGAACAAAACTTAAGTCTTATGTGATGTCACTAAAAATGTATTTTTGGAATATAGGCATTTATTTTTATATATGTCCGTGTTTTACAAGAGGCCCTCTTCAATAAAAGCGGCTAGTAAGGAATAATTTATATGGAAACAAATCTTTGTTTTCAAAAATTTCCTTGTAAAGTTAGGACTTAAATCGTGACACTTAAAACGATTACAAAGAAAAGAAAACTTTCACTTTGCAATTCTTCTGTTGAATGAAATCAAAATGTTGTCGACGCCAGCCTGTCTATATTGTATTTGTAAATAAATATTAGTAAAAAGGAAATATTTATCTCTAACGTGTTGATGCTGTACGCTTCGTTGCGTTTGCATATAAGGAGAAGGTCACTGGAAGCGTTTTAGCGTGTTTGAAGGCTCACAGCTAGTAACAACTTTATTTACACAAGCCGTTATTTCGTTCTTCCAGGTGTATTTTGCAGAATTGAACACAGGTTGTGGTTGTTCGTAATATAATTAAATAAACATGAATAATTAAAGTTCATTTATTTCACTTATTACAAACTATACATTTTATAAATATGCGGAAACGGTGCGTATAACTAAAGTTGAGCAATTCTCATTTATTATTCTTATATGAGTATCGACAGAATTATGCTCTACATAACAATAAAAATACATAAATACGTTACGTTTGTAAATATTAAATTGAATTACTCAACTGGAAATTTCGAAACCGTCCAAGTTCAAATCGGCCGGCCCCGAAATTGAATTATTAATAATAACCTAACGCAGTCGTCATTCATTCGATTTTCCATTTTTCTTATCGTTTTTCTCCTCGTCTAGAACACGGGGGCGAACCGTTATTCGACGGAGCATCTTCTTGGGGACTTTGATTTCATTTTTCAATAAACTTTCGAGTTCCGTTAGCGACGTTATTTCTTTCAAGTCGTTGAAGTTCACACTCCTGGCTCCTCCGAGTCTCCCGAAGTATCTGTAGACATCGGCATTTGCTTGACACTGAGCGCAGTTATACGGAACGGGCGCGGCACCGGGGAAGTATTGTTGTGCCGATTGCATGTTTGTTCCATTTCCGGGGCAACTTGGAACAAAAACTACAGGCAGGAAGCCTATGATGCCATAGGGCGCGTAGTATTGGTTCGGGCTTTGTACAGGAGCTTGTGTGACGGCTGTACTGCTGCTGTTGTTACCGGGGTTTAAGAGGTAGCATGGACACGACCCCGGGTACGGTACAATGGGCAATGGATATGGTATAACATATATCGGGAATGGTGGCATTTGACCACCAGGCTGATAGGAAGGCGGTTGAACTCCTGTGCCCGTTGATGCACCAACTGAATCGCCACCTGCGAAGCGAATGAAAATATAATTAATATGTACAATAAATAAACTAAAAATTTCTTCTACCCGAATAAGAAAACATTTTGAGTATCAATATTGTATGTAAATTGTTGTATTAAGGAAAAATGAATTGAAGAAGATTAAAATAATTAAGTATTATGTTTACCGTTAGGTTGACCAGGCTGGCCTTGCTGTCCTGGTGTTCCTGGTTGACCGGGTTGACCAGGCTGACCTTGCTGTCCTGGTGTTCCTGGTTGACCGGGTTGACCAGGCTGACCTTGCTGTCCTGGTGTTCCTGGTTGACCGGGATGACCGGGTTGTCCTGAAGTACCTTGCTGTCCGGGCTGACCTGGGTAGCCGGGTTGTCCTGGCTGTCCTGGGTAGCCTGATTGACCAGGTTGTCCTTGCAGTCCTGGGTATCCTGGTTGACCGGGTTGGCCTGGGTAGCCGGGTTGTCCTGGTTGACCGGTTTGGCCTTCTTGTCCTGGATAGTCTGGTTGACCAGGCTGACTGGGTTGTCCTGAAGTATCAGGTTCTCCGGGTTGGCCTGGTTGTCCAGGTTGGCTTGGGGAGCCGGGTTGTTCTGGTTGACCAGGTTTGCTTGGTTGTTCTGGAGTGCCTGGCTTTCCTGGTTGTCCTTGCTGTCCTGGGTAGCCTGGTTGACCGGGTTGGCCTGGATAGCCAGGTTGTCCTGGCTGACCGGGTTGTCCTGGATAGCCTGGTTGATCGGGTTGGCCTGGGTAGCCGGGTTGTCCCGGTTGACCAGGTTGTCCTGGAGTTCCTGGTTGTCCGGGCTGACCGGGTTTGCCTGGTTGTTCTGAAGTGCCTGGCTGTCCTGGTTGTCCTTGCTGTCCAGGGTAGCCTGGTTGTCCTGACTGACCGGATTGTCCTGGAGTGCCTGGCTGTCCGGGCTGACCGGGTTTGCCTGGTTGTCCTGGTTGACCGGGTTGTCCTTGCTGTCCTGGGTAGCCTGGTTGACCGGGTTGGCCTTGTTGTCCTGGAGTTCCTGGTTGTCCAGGCTGACCGGGTTTGTCTGGTTGTCCTGGTTGACCGGGTTGTCCTGGAGTGCCTGGCTGTCCTGGTTGTCCTTGCTGTCCTGGGTAGCCTGGTTGTCCTGGCTGACCAGGTTGTCCTGGCTGACCAGGTTTGCCTGGTTGTCCTGGAGTTCCTGGCTGTCCTTGCTGTCCTGGGTAGCCTGGTTGACCGGGTTGGCCTTGTTGTCCTGGATAGTCTGGTTGACTAGGCTGACTGGGTTGTCCTGGAGTTCCTGGTTGTCCTTGCTGTCCTGGATAGCCTGGTTGACCGGGTTGACCAGGCTGACCTTGCTGTCCTGGTGTTCCTGGTTGACCGGGATGACCGGGTTGTCCTGGAGTACCTTGATGTCCGGGCTGACCTGGGTAGCTGGGTTGTCCTGGCTGTCCTGGGTAGCCTGATTGACCAGGTTGTCCTTGCTGTCCTGGGTATCCTGGTTGACCGGGTTGGCCTGGGTAGCCGGGTTGTCCTGGTTGTCCTTGCTGTCCTGGATAGCCTGGTTCACCGGGTTGTCCTGGGTAGCCGGGTTGTCCTGGGTAGCCGGGTTGTCCTGGTTGACCGGGTTGTCCTGGTTGACCGGGTTGTCCTGGAGTTCCTGGTTGTCCGGGTTTGCCTGGCTGTCCTGGTTGTCCTTGCTGTCCCGGATAGCCTGGTTGACCGGGTTGTCCTGGGTAGCCGGGTTGTCCTGGTTGACCGGGTTGGCCTGGGTAGCCGGGATGTCCTGGTTGGGGTTTGTGTGTCCTGTTGTCCTTGTGTCCTGGATAGCCTGGTTGACCGGGTTGTCCGGGCTGACCGGGTTGTCCTGGGGTTCCTGGTTGTCCGGGCTGACCGGGTTTGCCTGGCTGTCCTGGTTGTCCTTGCTGTCCCGGATAGCCTGGTTGACCGGGTTGTCCTGGGTAGCCGGGTTGTCCTGGTTGACCGGGTTGGCCTGGGTAGCCGGGTTGTCCTGGTTGACCGGGTTTGCCTGGCTGTCCTGGTTGTCCTTGCTGTCCTGGATAGCCTGGTTGACCGGGTTGTCCGGGCTGACCGGGTTGTCCTGGAGTTCCTGGTTGTCCTTGCTGTCCTGGATAGCCAGGTTGACCGGGTTGTCCTGGAGTTCCTGGTTGTCCGGGCTGACCGGGTTTGCCTGGCTGTTCTGGTTGTCCTTGCTGTCCTGGGTAGCCTGGTTGACCGGGTTGGCCTGGGTAGCCGGGTTGTCCTGGTTGACCGGGTTGGCCTGGGTAGCCGGGTTGTCCTGGTTGACCGGGTTGTCCTGGAGTAGCCTGGTTGTCCGGGCTGACCGGGTTTGCCTGGCTGTCCTGGTTGTCCTTGCTGTCCTGGATAGCCTGGTTGACCGGGTTGGCCTGGGTAGCCGGGTTGTCCTGGTTGACCGGGTTGTCCCGGAGTTCCTGGTTGTCCTTGCTGTCCTGGATAGCCTGGTTGACCGGGTTGGCCTGGGTAGCCGGGTTGTCCTGGTTGACCGGGTTGGCCTGGGTAGCCGGGTTGTCCTGGTTGACCGGGTTGTCCTGGAGTTCCTGGTTGTCCGGGCTGACCGGGTTTGCCTGGCTGTCCTGGTTGTCCTTGCTGTCCTGGATAGCCTGGTTGACCGGGTTGGCCTGGGTAGCCGGGTTGTCCTGGTTGACCGGGTTGTCCCGGAGTTCCTGGTTGTCCTTGCTGTCCTGGATAGCCTGGTTGACCGGGTTGTCCGGGCTGACCGGGTTGTCCTGGAGTTCCTGGTTGTCCGGGCTGACCGGGTTTGCCTGGCTGTTCTGGTTGTCCTTGCTGTCCTGGGTAGCCTGGTTGACCGGGTTGGCCTGGGTAGCCGGGTTGTCCTGGTTGACCGGGTTGGCCTGGGTAGCCGGGTTGTCCTGGTTGACCGGGTTGTCCTGGAGTTCCTGGTTGTCCGGGCTGACCGGGTTTGCCTGGCTGTCCTGGTTGTCCTTGCTGTCCTGGATAGCCTGGTTGACCGGGTTGGCCTGGGTAGCCGGGTTGTCCTGGTTGACCGGGTTGTCCGGGCTGACCGGGTTTGCCTGGCTGTCCTGGTTGTCCTTGCTGTCCTGGATAGCCTGGCTGACCGGGTTGGCCTGGGTAGCCTTGTTGTCCTGGAGTTCCTGGCTGTCCTGGTTGTCCTTGCTGTCCTGGATAGCCTGGTTGACCGGGTTGGCCTGGGTAGCCGGGTTGTCCTGGTTGACCGGGTTGTCCCGGAGTTCCTGGTTGTCCTTGCTGTCCTGGGTAGCCTGGTTGACCGGGTTGGCCTGGGTAGCCGGGCTGTCCTGGTTGACCAGGTTGTCCTGGAGTTCCTGGTTGTCCTGGCTGACCGGGTTTGCCTGGCTGTCCTGGTTGTCCTTGCTGTCCTGGATAGCCTGGTTGACCGGGTTGGCCTGGGTAGCCGGGTTGTCCTGGGTAGCCGGGTTGTCCTGGAGTTCCTGGTTGTCCGGGCTGACCGGGTTGTCCCGGAGTTCCTGTTTGTCCTTGCTGTCCTGGATAGCCTGGTTGACCGGGTTGTCCAGGAGTTCCTGGTTGTCCGGGCTGACCGGGTTTGCCTGGCTGTCCTGGTTGTCCTTGCTGTCCTGGGTAGCCTGGTTGACCGGGTTGGCCTGGGTAGCCGGGTTGTCCTGGTTGACCGGGTTGGCCTGGGTAGCCGGGTTGTCCTGGTTGACCGGGTTGTCCTGGAGTTCCTGGTTGTCCGGGCTGACCGGGTTTGCCTGGCTGTCCTGGTTGTCCTTGCTGTCCTGGATAGCCTGGTTGACCGGGTTGGCCTGGGTAGCCGGGTTGTCCTGGTTGACCGGGTTGTCCGGGCTGACCGGGTTTGCCTGGCTGTCCGGGCTGACCGGGTTTGCCTGGCTGTCCTGGTTGTCCTTGCTGTCCTGGATAGCCTGGTTGACCGGGTTGGCCTGGGTAGCCGGGTTGTCCGTGGGTAGCCTGGTTGACCGGGTTGGCCTGGGTAGCCGGGCTGTCCTGGTTGACCAGGTTGTCCTGGAGTTCCTGGTTGTCCTGGCTGACCGGGTTTGCCTGGCTGTCCTGGTTGTCCTTGCTGTCCTGGATAGCCTGGTTGACCGGGTTGGCCTGGGTAGCCGGGTTGTCCTGGTTGACCGGGTTGTCCGGGCTGACCGGGTTTGCCTGGCTGTCCTGGTTGTCCTTGCTGTCCTGGATAGCCTGGTTGACCGGGTTGTCCTGGTTGACCGGGTTGTCCCGGAGTTCCTGGTTGTCCTTGCTGTCCTGGGTAGCCTGGTTGACCGGGTTGGCCTGGGTAGCCGGGCTGTCCTGGTTGACCAGGTTGTCCTGGAGTTCCTGGTTGTCCTGGCTGACCGGGTTTGCCTGGCTGTCCTGGTTGTCCTTGCTGTCCTGGATAGCCTGGTTGACCGGGTTGGCCTGGGTAGCCGGGCTGTCCTGGTTGACCAGGTTGTCCTGGAGTTCCTGGTTGTCCTGGCTGACCGGGTTTGCCTGGCTGTCCTGGTTGTCCTTGCTGTCCTGGATAGCCTGGTTGTCCGGGTTGGCCTGGGTAGCCGGGTTGTCCTGGTTGACCGGGTTGTCCTGGAGTTCCTGGTTGTCCGGGCTGACCGGGTTGTCCCGGAGTTCCTGTTTGTCCTTGCTGTCCTGGATAGCCTGGTTGACCGGGTTGGCCTGGGTAGCCGGGCTGTCCTGGTTGACCAGGTTGTCCTGGAGTTCCTGGTTGTCCTGGCTGACCGGGTTTGCTGCCTGGCTGTCCTGGCTGTGGTGTCCTTGCTGTCCTGGATAGCCTGGTTGTCCGGGTTGGCCTGGGTAGCCGGGTTGTCCTGGTTGACCGGGTTGTCCTGGAGTTCCCGGTTGTCCGGGCTGACCGGGTTGTCCCGGAGTTCCTGTTTGTCCTTGCTGTCCTGGATAGCCTGGTTGACCGGGTTGGCCTGGGTAGCCCGGTTGTCCTGGTTGACCGGGTTGGCCTGGGTAGCCGGGTTGTCCTGGTTGACCGGGTTGGCCTGGGTAGCCGGGTTGTCCTGGCTGACTGGGTTGTCCTGGAGTTCCTGGTTGTCCTTGCTGTCCTGGATAGCCTGGTTGACCGGGTTGTCCGGGATGACCGGGTTGTCCTGGAGTTCCTGGTTGTCCGGGCTGACCAGGTTTGCCTGGTTGTCCTGGTTGTCCTTGCTGTCCTGGATAGCCTGGTTGACCGGGTTGTCCGGGTTGACCGGGTTGGCCTGGGTAGCCGGGCTGTCCTGGTTTACCAGGTTGTCCTGGAGTTCCTGGTTGTCCGGGCTGACCGGGTTTGCCTGGTTGTCCTGGAGTGCCTGGCTGTCCTTGCTGTCCTGGATAGCCTGGTTGACCGGGTTGTCCTGGAGTTCCTGGTTGTCCGGGCTGACCGGGTTGGCCTGGGTAGCCTTGTTGTCCTTGCTGTCCTGGATAGCCTGGTTGACCGGGTTGGCCTGGGTAGCCCGGTTGTCCTGGTTGACCGGGTTGGCCTGGGTAGCCGGGTTGACCGGGTTGGCCTGGGTAGCCGGGTTGTCCTGGCTGACTGGGTTGTCCTGGAGTTCCTGGTTGTCCTTGCTGTCCTGGATAGCCTGGTTGACCGGGTTGTCCGGGATGACCGGGTTGTCCTGGAGTTCCTGGTTGTCCGGGCTGACCGGGTTTGCCTGGTTGTCCTGGAGTGCCTGGCTGTCCTGGATAGCCTGGTTGACCGGGTTGACCGGGTTGGCCTGGTTGTCCTTGCTGTCCTGGATAGCCTGGTTGATCGGGTTGGCCTGGGTAGCCGGGCTGTCCTGGTTTACCTAGTAATAATTTTTATTCTATCAATTGAAATCCCATCGAAGTATTTATTATCAATCTATTCAAACATTACTATCACAGAACCATAAGCTGATTTAAATATATTTGTAAATAAATAAACATATGCTTTGAATATATAAATTATGAGAGAACATTTCGTTTTGTATGTTTCTAAAAGAATATTGGGGAAGTTCTGGTTTTCAGGCCCCTCCCGGGAAATTAGCAATCAGTATGAACTTGGAACTAGATAAAAATTCAATGTTTATAAAACAAAACTATTGAACCGGAAATAATTATTTAATTTGCAAGAATTACCATTTCGATTGAATGAATGGACCAGATACCGTACAAGCAAGTAAGAGAGGGAAAGATTAATGCTACAATATAATGAAGACTTGTCTAATTGTAATTTGATAGAGATGAAGTAGATTATGTGTATTAGGAAAGTTAATATCGATTATTGTTTTTATGTTTTTTCTCAAAATAAACCTAAATATAACCTGTATTATATAAAAAATAATACAAAAGTTTGCGGTATTTACACAGATGTCATAACTAAGGGAATACAGAAAACTGTTGTGAGTCCACGCAATGTGAGTGGCATATTTTTACTACACTTTCCTTTTTTTTGTTTATTACTTTTTTTACACTACACACATACAATTGCAACAAAATAATTAATGTACATAATAGTACTGTAGAGACCTATAAAGCCCAAGAGAAAACGTTTTGTGTGAAGGGAATAAAAAGATAAGTCCATAGAGCTGGACATTCAAACGTCTTTCGTCAAAACTTCGGTTTTAAGGATTTAGAGTTGAACAGAATAGGTCATAAGAGGTGATAGCAATCCAAGCTGCTTACGAAATGCATAGTGCATTAAAAACATTACTTCCTTTGATGCTGCAAACATGTTCGGCTTATGTTTACATTCTACGTGAAATTTAGGGATCGTTCGTACCTTGAGATCCTGGGTAATAACCGCCACCTGCAGGGCCGCTCGGGCTGCCGGGTCCACCGGGTCCGCCTGGCCCACCCGGTCCTCCCGGCCCACCTGGTCCGCCGGGGGAGCCTGGTAATCCTGGACTACCTGGGGTTCCTGAAAAAAGGTTTAGATTAAATTAAAAATAATAAAATATATAAATTTAGAAGGTCTCTTTCTTTAAATTTATAATCTTTAAAAAAAAATCTGTAAATCATAGTCGTAAAATCCTTATTACTAATAATTTCTAACATACGCCTGTCTTTGAGGTAATTATTTTCTTACCGGGGTAGTAACCACCGCCAGTTGATCCTCCTGGATTGCTAGGACCACTTGGTCCAGCTGCTGGACCACCTGGGCCACCGGGGCCACCTGGAGAGCCTGGTGTACCTGGCGAGCCTGGGGTACCTGGAAAACCGGGGGTGCCCGACTGTCCTGGATAGTAACCACCGCTAGGTCCTAAAGCAAATATAAGATACATACATTACTATATGTATTCTCAAACATTTTTAGTTACTACATACTTCTTTGGTCTTATCTAAATGTGCCTCCTATTGTAAAACCGTGTTATTTTATATAGATAATTGTATTGTGTGTGTCAGTGACGCACTAGCGAGCGTTAGCTAATTTTTGAAACAAAGTTGCTCAGTAAGAGATTTTTGTAATCGTTGGAGAATTAAATAAATTTTAAACCGTATTTATTTAGGTAGGTCTGTATATTAAAGTTGTAGGTAAAACGACTGAAAAAAAAAGTAATAGCGTGAGTAATATGATAGAAAAAATAAAGTATAAACGGCTATGTGGTTTATTTACCGGCTGTTCTAAATACTAAATTAATTGTTAGTAAATAATCGTATTCTATGTTTTGTTTAAATAAATCTGCAATAATACCTTGACCACTTGGATAAGAGCCACCTCCAGAGGGACCTCCTGGACCGCCTGGACCGCTTGGACCGCCTGGTCCACCTGGACCTCCTGGGCCTCCTGGGCCACCAGGTGATCCTGGAGTTCCCGGATAGCCTGGTTTGCCTGGTGGTCCTGGGTAGTAACCACCGCCTGAAGGACCTTTATACACATAATATGTTAACCATGCATTGTTAATATAGTCTGTAGTTTACGCGAGTAGACATAAATAAATAAATCATTTTGACGGTTTAAAACACGATAAATATTAGTTTAACTTTATTCAAATTAATTTAACTACAACCGAATTTTCGGATGCTAATATAAGTTTAAGTTATATACATTTTAAAGTACTGTTTACCTTGTCCACCAGGATAGTAACTGCCTCCCGAAGGGCCACTAGGTCCACTTGGACCACCTGGCCCTCCTGGTCCACCTGGTCCCCCTGGCCCACCAGGAGAGCCTGGTGTACCGGGGAATCCTGGGGTGCCTGGCTGTCCTGGATAATATCCACCACCGGAAGGACCTGTAAAGACGTATTTAAAATTTGCACGTAATTAAGTCAGGTAATTACAAAAAGATATATGTTATAATAAGTTTTAATGAAAAAGAAAAGTATATTTTAGTTATAAAGAAATTACCTTGGCCTGGATAGCTTCCTCCAGAAGGACCAGATGGTCCACTAGGACTGCCTGGTCCACTTGGACCGCCTGGACCGCCTGGTCCACCAGGTCCGCCGGGGCCACCTGGAGATCCCGGTGAACCAGGTTTGCCTGATTGTCCAGGGTAGTACCCACCGCTGCCACCTGAGGGTGCAAGATTTTTTGGTTAATATTTTTTACTTGCACTTGATTAATATACAGCGAACATACAATATAAAAAAATGTTAGCAAATAATGCGAAAAAGAAAAGGTTTAATAATTATGTACCTTGGCTGCCAGGGTAGTAGCCTCCTCCAGAGGGACCACTGGGACCTCCAGGTCCACCTGGTCCACCAGGACCACCTGGAGACCCTGGAGTGCCTGGCGATCCTGGATAATAACCACCACCACCACCAGAACCTGAAAATTAAATAGACAATGTCATTACAAAGTTGTTACATTAAAATCATTAGGTATTAATTTCACTTTTCAGTGGAGAGGCTTTCTGGTTAAATGCTACAAATAACTTATAGCAACTTGTGTTACGATCCAATTAAACCAAAAAAATAACATTATAAAAATGACCCCCACCACTGCCGCCACCTGGTCCGTTTGGTCCACTAGGTCCGTTTGGACCACCGGGGCCGTTTGGTCCACTTGGACCCCCCGGTCCGTTTGGACCCCCAGGTCCGTTTGGTCCACTAGGTCCGTTTGGACCACCGGGGCCGTTTGGTCCACTTGGTCCGCCAGGTCCACCTGATCCACCATTAGGGCCATTAGGTCCACTTCCACCTGAAGAAACGTTTAATTGGAATTTGAAAAGAAAAGAAAAACTGTACGTGATAAAGTTAAAATAACGATTTTTTTAAGCTGGAGTTAATTAGTTTGGCAGATGTACCTGTTCCGGGATAGTAACCACCGCCTGACCCGCCGGGGCCTCCGGGACCACCAGGTGATCCTGGGCTTCCAGGGGAGCCTGGCCAACCTGGGGATCCAGGGCTACCTGGAGTTCCAGGCGTACCAGGGTAGTAACCTGGACCTGAAAAAATATTTATTCTTATTAATTACCTTTGTATAATTTTCCAATTTCAACTTATTAAAAAAAGACACAAAATTTATGCCAAACACAAATACCAACCAAACTGACATTCACTGGCATTAAAAAAAGTCGAATAAGAAATAAAAAGATTTGTGGTGCTATACTTTTCAAATTAAGAATGAATATTCCAGAAAATGCCTAAAAATTCTCTTATATAATACATTTCAAGGGGTTATCGATTCCTTCTTCTCTGACTTACCACTTGGATACACCACACCAGGGTTAGGGTTGCTGTTTTGACCGGTGCTGTCTGGCGGAGGCGTGGGCGGGCGTGGAGTTGGTTTAGGTCGAGGTTTAGGAGGAACGCCGCCTGGAGTTTTTCCACATCCCTTGGGTAAATACAGTTTGTTCCATGGCACTATCTGTCCCGGAATTTCCGATGCGTTATCCGAGCTGGAGTCAAATTCAAATGATATTAAAATATATTTTTAATCGGTTTAGACTTACGAGTAAAAAAATCTAAATTAAAAATTATTGATTCAAGTTGATAGATAGAAAAACTTATGAACATCAATATAGTTAAAAATTAAAATTTCCTAAATGCACATTTACTACCAATTTCCAAACTAGGGCGTAGAACGAACGAGAAAAACTACCAAAAATCTCGCCGCCACTTCTCTCATCATTTAAATTTTAATTTACGTTATAATCCCACTTTCCAAACAGTTTTTTGTTTAACATACGATTACAATGTATTTTTTTTTTGAAGGACTATTTCGTATTGTGTCCCGACGGAACCACGAATACTAACCGGGCGTTTTGGGCGAGCGGCTAGACCAAGGGTGCCGCGAGGGGGGCGTCGGCTTGGACCGCCGCAAAAAATGTATTCATATGTGTTTTATTTAAATGTGTTCTACTACGGGTAGCTACAGACAATACTTAAACTTACTTTTCGTCATATACGTGGTCGGTGTCCGGGAAGACTTCGACCGGTTTTTCCGGTTCCACCACTCTATAACCATGACTGTCAGCGACATAGTGAGTGACACGAAGGTAGCCGTCGGGATCAACGTAACCATAGCAACCGTATGTTACACCATCTGGGCCTCTGTTTTCGTGATGAAACTGGCCGTTTGGTCCGACGTCGTATCCGAATCCGTATGCACCTAAAATATTTAGACAAACAGAGTACAGTGCTGAATTTCAGGTGAAAATTTTATTATAAAAAGAAAGATAAATGCAAAGTTATTGAACAAGAAAATATCTATCGAAACAAACTTATATCTAAATATAAGGTTTTCGCAGATACTTTACAAGAAACTTATTTGTATAATGATGAATTACTAGGTTCTCGTAGTTCTCGTGATAATCTATCGAATATTTTGTGAAGTGAAAACGTTTTTTTTTATTTTAATTTAAACCTCTAGCGGCGTTATCCACAATAAAATGCATCAAGAAAAAATATCAGAGAGTAAACACAAATTGATACGTTACATAAACTAAATTAATATGTTTATGATTATATTCATTTACGGTTTCAATTCTGCTGACACACTTTTTAACGTCTTATCTACCCTTTCGTTAATAGTGTAAAGTTATTAAACATTCAACTTACTTGTATCGTAATTAGTTTCATAATACTGTTTCTTTTCGTCGTCTTCAATGTCGACCACGACTTCGTTGTTATTTTCATTGTAATCTCTAGCTTCACGAACCTCAGCTTCAATTATTGCTTTTGTATTATTCTTTGGTACATCTTCGCTGGCAAGCGTTAACACCAGCGACGCCTGAAACAATTTCAAATTTCGAATTAGGAATGTTGAATCAAGAAAAAGATATGTAAGGTTAAAAGTAATCTACACTAATATAAAGCTGAAGAGTTTGTTTGTTTGAACGCGGTGATCTCCGTAACTACGGGTTCGAATTGAAAGATTATTTGAAAATTGAAAAATTTCTGCGACATGTCTATATTTTAAGATTATTTTGCAAGAGAGATGGGACGCAACCGATGTCGTTGGCAGCTTGAATTTTGCAAAAATAAATTTGGATGCCAAAACAAATTTAACTATTCTACGCGGACGAAGTCGCTGTCACAGCTTAGTGATGATATGAAATTTAAATTTCGAAATTTCTTTATTCTCGAAAGGTAAAAAATGGTTTAACATTCAGCCAACAAGTTGTGGTAAAACGTGATGAGTAAATAGCTGTGTGTTTAAGTAGTATCTAATAAGTTTATTGCGAAAGTAACTTGCAATGTTGATGAGAGCCGAAAGCCTAATAATTACAAAAAACTATTAAGATAAATTCTATGTTGTATTGCAACAATGTATGGTCGGGTTTTTGCGAATTTTTCATATTCTAAAAATTAACGCACATATTTTAACATAAGGAAAACTTTTAACTTTATGCATATATTTTCGAAATACGAGCCTGTTCATTCTTTGCTTAATATTATTAGCGCAACATATTGCTTAACAACATTGTCTAGGCGCGCCCAGATGATGTCACGTCAGTTAGTAGCTAAATTGAAAATTATAACTTTTCTTATACTGCATTTGCGCGTTAGAGTTTTTAGACGCACTTATCTAGTAGAGTTTTGATTTGAAAATATTAATAAAATAATGCCTAACAACACAACTGGAACGACCACTTGTTATCTTTGTTTACGCTAGAAGGCTCTGTAATAAATATTAAAATAATATGTATTGTACATATTTTAATATATAAGATTGAGATATCGCAAGTTTATATTGTATTTTACAGGAATACTTATAACTTCAAAAAAAAAAACACAAGAAATCCAGATTTTCGTAACAAGTTTCGATTGTTAGGAACTTAAATTTTTTTTTAAATTACACACATATTAAAAAGCAAAGTACAAAAGTTGTAGACTGAAATGCGAGTTTTCTTAATAGATATATAATCCATTGCAAGATATTAATTAGAAATACAACGAACCTTAAATAGTAATAATTTATTCTATGGGACAGAATGACCATAACACCACAAGGTCGCTTATTAAAATGCGAAGTAATAAGTACTACCCAGGGACCCGATGAATACAAATATGTATGTCTTTTGTTTCAATTGTCACATATCACAAGGCCTATGGAATGTTTTAATTCGCTTTAATATCTAAATTATGTGATAATAAATATCGAATAAAGTCTACTTAATTTGATATTGGATATTTGGAACAATATTATATAGATTATACTAAAAAGGACATGCATGAATACAGGAATGGATGTGTGTAATTTACGAAAGATTTTAATCAGACAACGCAGGAGTACGGAAAACCTGACGATGCCGGTTAGCCCTATGTACCCATGAGCACGAAACAATTTTTTCGATTTTTATTAATAAATAGATAACACTTCCTGTTACGGATGAGCAAGTACACGTGCGAAAAAACGTCGGGCCGAAGTAAAAATAATTTTCAAATGTTACAATGTATCGCTATTAAACCGTTAAGTGTTTTACTTAAAGTATATTATAATCAGTTCTATAAACAGAGTGATAAATCCAATTAGATAAAACAAAAATATTTAATAATTGATTATTAAGTTTTTTTATTAAACTTTTTTTTGGAGGGGGGGGAAATTTTAAAAGGAAAATTAAACAAAAACTTGGTTCTAAGGAATTTTTAATAAGTGCGAACCACATAGCACCATAAAGTCGTACTTATTAGAACAAAAATTGTACTACATCGGTGAATTGTAAAACTTATCATTTTATATTAAACAAGAATACGTTGTTTTGTATTCCAATAACGAAATCTATCGTAACTTTGCTTGTCAAATCAGCGACAAAACAGTGTCCGAATAGATTTTAACAATGTCCTTTGGAATCGTTGGACTCGATCCAGTAACGAAGCAGTTAGCCTAATTTTGGAAGAATTACTTTAAATTCTGTCGCATATTGCATTATATGTAAACTTCGCAAAGTCTGGCTACTGTGCGTGTAAAAACAAACGTTTTATAGAATCAATATTGACATACTTTGCTTAAGCGATAAATATCTTGCTATAGTCATGAGCTATCCCCAAGAACATATTGCTAAACTGTCAAGGAGACTTTGTCAATTGAGATAGTAAAGTTCAAATGTGCAAATGTACCTAGACTTTACTTAGTAACATGTGCTATCTCTATAATTTATATCTCTAGTCTGTAATTCTTCATAGGTGTAGAGTGTAATTAATTTGGCCAATATATAAGTTTGTAGAAATTAGACCGCCTCTGTAGCCAAATGGTTAAACGTATTGCCTAGCATTGCGTTAAACGCGAGAGGTTCTGTTGAAGCCGTAGGAAACAAAGAATTGTTTCGGTCTGACAGGGCACAGAAATCTGATCAACTACTTGCCTCTTAAAGAACGGATCAGTAAAAGGACAAATATGTATTCGCCCCGTGCCCCACGAGGGGGAAACATTAGGGGAAACACATATTTTGGCTTAGGATATTCAGAATACACAATAGTTTGATTTGATGTAGCTGTGTTTTGTAAAAGCGAATCTCATCATTTGTAGATTTTAAATTTTTTTGCGTGTTCGTTAAAGTATTATACAAAAACAGTGGTTTTTATATTAAATATTACTTTTTATATATAAAAAAAAAAAATAAATAAATAAAGACAACTTGAAAGTTATATTATTACATTATTGTTATTTCTCTATAAATAGATATTTCGCTTCAAAGCCATACATCACAAGAATATCAATGTACTATACATAGCTTTCAAGTTAATAACTTTGAAGAACATAACAAATAAGTAGGGAGTTATTATATTCCATTTGATGTTCTTCTTGATTAGACCCCTTTGAAATGGAAATGTTATTTTGCAATCCTTGTTCCTTGTCGGGTCTCTGGGCTTTTGATTTCCGCGAAAACTTTTAGATGACATATTTTTGTTTATTAATAATTCCGGCAACTGGCTTCCCTGTTGACGAAAGATATCGCGGAAAATACTCGGAAATTGTCGTTATTTTAATTAACGTATTTAATTAAAATTTTTTTTTTTGCCTTTTTAATACAGCACAAGCCCCATCAAAATAAAGATATTATAATTTTATTATGTCGAATTTTAACAGCATATTATTAAATACTGTCTTTAGTTTACGCGAGTAGTACACATTTAAATAAAACACTTTAACGGTGTAAAAGGCGATATATTAGTTAAACTTATTTGAAAATGATATTTAACTTCAGCCCGACGTCGTCCACGTCAGAGACATCCTCCATCTTTAGTCTCACCGTGACCACGGCTGTAACGCATCCGAAAGTCAGGCCGAAGTTAAAAATCATTTTCAAATAAGCTTAACTAATATATCGCCTTTTATACCGTTAAAGTGTTTTATTTAAAAGCATTATTACTTATTCGTAGCATGTTGCTTTAACTATTTAACGTTTTTTAAACTGTATATGCGGTACATACACTATTTAAAACATACTAGCTGTGTCAGCGACTTCGTCCGCGTGTAATAGTCTTTTTGGTTATCCAAATTTGTTTTTGCAAACCTCTTCATCTTATTAAATTCAAGTTCACCCCGACGTCGCGTCGGTCGCATCCCGTCGTTCTTACAAGTTAATCTGATAAGATAGACATATAGTATTGCGGACACTTTTTAAATCCTTTGAACGTAGCGTACGTAACGGAAACCCGTTTCCACATTTCCCGTTGTTTTCTCGCTCTTAAATGTCACATCGTGATGTTTTATAGCCTTCCTCGATAAATGCTCTAACACAAAAATATTTTTTCAATTCGAACCAGCTGTTCCAGAGATCAGCACGTTCAAACAAACAAACAAACTCTTCAGCTTTATATATTAGTATAGATTTTCGATATACAGTAATATGAATACAACTTTTAAAATACTGGATGTCTTTATCAATGTTTTACCCATGGTTTATAAGGATCTCACCGATTAGCCGTATTCTACGCGGATGGTTCTATCGAGGGCAACACGGGCAGATCTGTGTCGAATGTATTTCGCGAATTTTTATCGACCAAAATGACAACGGTTCCTCACGATTGCGTACGCGTTGCTTCGCGGATCAAAACTATTTTTCTTGATTCTTGTCTCGAGTACGTGAGGCTGAAACTTAAGTCGAGACAGGGTTACGGCCACGGACGCCACGGACATCGCTAAAATATAAGCCGGACGTGTCGCGAATGATAAGCGGTGAAATTATGACAGCCGGTGTCTTTGCACTTTGATAAATCTACGTTGATATTGTGAATACTTTTTTGAGGCGAAATGTAAATAATAGTAAATCTTTTGATATTGCCCTTTTCTAAAAAAGTGTGACTAACAATTTTCCGCGACTAGGCAGACCCAGTAGGTACGAACTACGATAAGTGAGACTTAATGCCGACTTCGAACCAACTGTGTTTGAATAAAAGAAAGACTTTCGACTCAAACCAGAAAGATTAATAAAAACGTATTATTTTAGTGTACCCTTGTAAAAATTAAATTTGTTAATTTCTCATGCAGAACATCTACTATAATAATATAATTTTTTTAAACTTACTTTAAGACCAACAACCTTTTTTACGATGTACTGTGGAATTATTTATTTATTTGTTTATTAACTTTATTAATTACAAACACCACAGAAATGGTTTACAACAATAAATTCTTATGTACTAGGTTATAACTAAAAGGCGGCCTTATCGCTAAACAGCGATCTCTTCCAGGCAACCTGAAGTGAAGGGAAAAACAAAAAATAAAATAAAAGGACTATAGGTAGGCGGTGCTAGAAAGGATCATGAAAAAGAAAGGCAATTAAC